GGAACTAGCTCTTGTAGACCAGGCTGGTCTCGAACTCACAGAGATCCGCCTGCCTCTGCCTCCCAAGTGCTGGGATTAAAGGCGTGCGCCACCACCGCCCGGCAAGTGCCCCATTTTATAATTGGGTTGATTAGCCTTTTACAGTCTAGTTTCTTGAGTTCTTTATATATTTTGGAGATTAGACCTTTGTCAGTTGTGGGGTTGGTGAAGATCTTCTCCCAGTCAGTGGGTTGCCTTTTTTTGTTTGTTTGTTTTTTTGTTTTTCGAGACAGGGTTTCTCTGTGGCTTTGGAGCCTGTCCTGGAACTAGCTCTGTAGACCAGGCTGGTCTCGAATTCACAGAGATCCGCCTGCCTCTGCCTCCAAGTGCTGGGATTAAAGGCGTGCGCCACCGCGGCTGCCTTTTTGTCTTAGTGACAGTGTCCTTTGCTTTACAGAAGCTTCTCAGTCTCAGGAGGTCCCATTTATTCAATGATGCCCTTAGTGACTGTGCTGTTGGGGTTATACATAGGAAGTGGTCTCCTGTGCCCATGTGTTGTAGAGTACTTCCCACTTTTTATTCTATCAGGTTCAGTGGGTTCGGACTGATAGAGGTCTTTAATCCATCTGGATTTGAGTTTTGTGCATGGTGATAGATATGGATCTATTTTCATTCTTCTACAGATTGACATCCAGTTTGCCAGCACAATTTGTTAAAGATGCTCTCTTTTTTCCATTGTATACTTTTAGCTCCTTTATCGAAAATCAGGTGTTCATAGGTTTGTGAGTTAAAGTTAGAGTCTTCTATTCGATTCCATTGGTCGACTTCTCTGTTTTTATGCCATAGTTTTGGTTTTTGAAGACAGGGTTTCTCTGTAGCCCTGGAACTCGTTGCCACCCCATGTAGATCCGCCTGCCTCCGCCTTAGGAGCGCTAGGACTAGAGGCATGCACTGCCATGCTGTTTTCCTCACACACTTTCGAAATGTCAGAGCTGCGTTCAAATTCAAGTGATGTGTTCCTGACATCTGTCATTCCAGGGCCCTTTCTCTTTAGGCTTTTTCTTGCTTGTCAGTTTTGCCCTGTGACTGCTGTGTGATCTGAGGAAGCCCAGCTTTGGTCGGGTGTCCTCAGAGCCAGCAGACCATCCCTCGGATCCTGTCTGCAGCGTCTGTTTCTCTGCACCTCCTCTATACTCACTATGCAGCATTGTGTCGTGCGACAGCTGCATGGCTGTATCCTGACTGCTCACTGCCACCCTGGGGTACTGCCCCACCCTGTCCCCTTAGTGCCTTCGTGCATCGCTGTGGACGCACAGCCCGGATAGGACACGGTGGCAGCGCTCTGGTGTTCCTACTGCCGATGGAGGAGGCGTACATCAACTTCCTGGCCATTAACCAGAAAGTAAGTGGCACACTGGCCTGGTAGCTGGTGGTTAGCAACTGAGAGGAGGTTAGCAACTCACCTGGGCTGGTTGGGAGGCATTGGCCAACATCATGACTTGGGAACACTGCCTATTGTTGCCTGCCATCTTACTAGTCGGGATTGTTATGTGCAATGCCATTTTCAAACTTAAAAAAAAAAAAAAAAGCTCCAAACTCCCATTTGACTAAGGAATGTGCTTGGGCTGGATTTGGCCCCTGGCTCTTGGTATACTGCACTGTCCTTGGTTTATTAGCTCTGGAAGGTACTGGGTTGGAGGGACTGCAGGGAAGGTGAGATGGTGGTCTCTGTGTAGTGCCCCCTGCAGGAGATGAGCCTCCAGAGAAACACAGTAGACCTTCTGCCAAAGCTCCGGGCCATGGCCATGGCCGACAGGGCAGTGTTCGAGAAGGGCATGAAAGCCTTTGTGTCCTTCGTCCAGGCTTATGCAAAGCACGAGTGCAGCCTCATCTTCAGGCTGAAGGGTAAGCAGGTGCTTTGCCTTCTCTAACCTTTTTTTTGGGGGGGAGGGGGACAACAGGGTCTTTCTGTAGCCCTGCCGGTTCCTGCTGTGGAGACCAGGCTGGCCTCAAACTCAGAGATCTTACCTCTGCCTACCAAGTACTGGGATTAAAGCTGGGTGCCACCATGTCTGACATAATCATATTTCTTCTTCTCTGAGTCTTTGGGTGACAAGGGTTGCTTTGTCTTAATGAAATATGTGGCATGTTAGGTTAGTGTTCATAAAAATAAAAAAGAAAGTCCTATATAGGACTCTGAGTAGAGGCAAAATAAACTGCCATTTCCATCTTGAAAAATGTTTCTTAAAAATTCTAATTAAATTTATTACATCATTTAATTAAGCAACATCATGAGGAACCCGTGCCCAGCTGCGATGTCTTGCGGTGCTGACTCTAAGCTCTTATCTGTTAGATCTCGACTTTGCGAGCCTTGCTCGAGGGTTTGCCCTGCTAAGGATGCCCAGGATGCCAGAACTGAGGGGGAAGCAGTTTCCAGATTTTGTGCCCACAGACATCGATACTGACATGATTCCATTTAAAGATAAAATTAGAGAAAAGCAGAGGCAGAAACTTTTGGAGCAAAAAAGAAAAGAGAGGACAGAAAATGAAGGGAGAAGAAAGTTCATCAAAAATAAAGCTTGGTCGAAGCAGAAGGCCAAGAAGGAGCGGAAGAAGAAGATGAATGCAAAGAGGAAAAAGGATGAGGTAAAGTGTGGTGCTCTTTGTTCCTTAGCCTCCTCCTTAGAACCCCGACATTCAGTGTGTGAGGACAGCAAGGTGGCCACAGTGGGCTGGGCTGTGTGGACGCCACACTTCCGCCATTCATTCTGGAGCCTCTGGTGTTAGTCGACCCTGGCTCCTGTAGGCCCAACAGGATCCACTGCTTTCTAGAGCCACAGCTAACAGCCTTGTTGCTTCTGCACTCAGGGTTCAGATATCGATGACGAGGACATGCAGGAACTCCTTAATGATACAAGGCTCTTGAAAAAGTTTAAGAAAGGTAAGATCACAGAAGAAGAATTTGAGAAGGGGTTGCTGACAAGCACCAAAAGAACAGTCCCGCTGACAGACTTAGGGGTCTCAGACTTGGAAGAGGACGGCTGACCTCAGCCTCAGGTGAAGGCTGTTACGCCACTGGCCCACACTCCTGCCCTTCCCGGAAGACTGTTCTGGAAAGCTGTCTGCGCTGACGGGGAAACACCAAAGAACTGGACACCCATGAGCACTACAGTCCCGCCAGAGTCTCACAGAACTCGTTATTTGAGTGGAAATTTGTACTTTATAACAAATTTCAGGTGTCAGTATTGATTTTGATTAAGTGTACTTTTTCTGGTGTAATTTTGTACTTTATTACTGACTTGAAAATATTTTCATATATATGAAATATTTTATATGAATATATATAAAATATATTTTCATATATACTTAAATTATTACCATTTAAAAACAGATACTGTAGCACACTTGATTTTAGGCCTTGTAAAATTTCTAAGTCATATGACCTCCCCTCTCCTTCCTCCCGCCCAAATGTTGCATGACCTGTGCAGGCCTGTCTGGAGCACCTGCAGATGCACACGTGGCTATGCCCAGTGGGTTCTGGGTTCTTTCTCTCCTTTGCAATAGGGGCTACACTATGTAGTCCAGGATGCTTTGAGAATGATCCTCCTGCCTCAGGCTCTGTGTGCTGGGGTCACAGGCTGCGCCACCACACCCCGACTAGAGTGAGGACATTTTCGAATTGACTGTGGTGCTATTTTATTGGCAGATAGGTGTAAGCCAGGGATGGAATTCTGTCCTAAGACAGTGCTGCTAGGCCGTTTGTGGTTTTCCGCCCAACTGTGCTTATAGTTTCTGGCCTTGGTCTCCTGGTACTGATGCAATACCATATCCAAATCGTTCATATAATTTATTAAAAAAAGATCCTGATCTGTTCCCATGTTTAATTAACAAAAGCTGTTGGGGACTTAATCATGTTTAAAGTAAACTACTTTATAGACAGGTTAGGTCCAGATATTCTGTAAGCAGCATCCTGGGAAGGCATTGGTGTTTTTCCTGTCTGGCCTGACCCTGCTGAGGAGATGGAGCCCAGAAGCCAGATGCAGCCAGCAGTGTTTCCTGCCTTGTTTGTAAGGCACCCCATGATGTATTCTCAGTGGCCTTCACTGCAGAGCTGCCTGCGTCACTTTCACTGCCCACTCGTGTGCTGTCCTTCCTTGGGTTTGCAGCCAGTCACCTAACTTGTACTTCCACAGACAGTGAGTTTCTGTAAACTGGAAGGATGCTTGGTTCTAGAACTGGGAACAGGTTTCAGATGTGGCAGAGCTGAGTTGAAAGGATTCTCCAGGACTTCTGACGTGAACCAGTTCAGTTTGGAGCCGGCTGGCTCACCCTGCACACGTGCTCCCTGCAAGCTGGCAGGAGGGACTCTGCTCACAGGTACAGCTTGATGAGCTCATCGCTTACAGCAGAGGGCGTCAGCACGCCCAGGTCCGTAAACAGCAGGGTGATCAAGGACGGGGAAGTATAGTCCACCCACGGATGTTCCTCTTTGAGGTCCTGCCCAGTCTGCACAGACTTGAGAGTGTCTGCCTTGTACTGAGGAGGGAAGAACTTGTATTAGTTGGGTTGGCCTCGTATCCAGGCTCTCTACTGCTGAGGCTGTAGTTTGAGCGTTAAGTGAGCTGCCCCCATGTTGGGAAACTGGCTGTGTGGCAGGCTGGGAGGGACAGTACTCAGGATCCCATCCCAGATGAGCAAATGTACAATGGAGGGGCCTGGCCAAGGTCAAATTTTATAAAAGCAGAGGTAGGAATGAAGAGTCGATTCTAAGGCTGGGGTTCCACCATCAGTCACACAGTATGATGCTATTTCATTTGTATTTTAATAAATAAAGCTTGCCTGAAGATTAGAGAGTAAAACAGCCACCTTACAGAATAGGCAGTTTTAATCCCAGTAGCCACACTAGTTTTCCATAGAAACCAGGTGGTAGTGGTGCATGCCTTTGATCCCAGCCCTAGAGAGGAACATAAGACTGGAGGAGACAGCTCTCACAGTTTCATTCTGAGATTCCTGGAGGCAGGATCGTCATTTTAGACTGAGGTAGAGGTAAGAGCCAGTGACTTGCTGTTTTGCTTTTCTGACCTTCAGATTGAACCTCAATTTCTGTCTCAGGATTTTTATTAATCGTGCTACAACACAGCTTCTCTGCTATGTAAATAAACAAGATGGAGACTGCCCACATGTGTCCTGGTACCATAGAAGAGCACTGGAGGACAGCAGTGGGAAGTGAGGACCTTCTAGAACATTATAGAACCAAAGACCCTGTCAGCTATGTAAAACCCACCTTAAACTTATCTGGGACGTCTTGCTGGTTGAGTGGGAAGAGCCGTACAAACTTGAAACTTTCTGCGACCACATAGAAGGGTTTGTTTTGGGCTTTGGCACACACGGCCATCTGGTTGGTGCCAATCTGAGAAGTCAGGGAAATGGAAGAGATGCAAGGTTAGTTTGCTCAACTCACTGCAGTGGAAGCAGAGTAAGGGCAATTCTGGCATGGGAATTTGTTTCATTTAGTTTTTTGAGACTGGCTTGTTTTCTTTCTTTAAAGGTCCTCTTTGAAGGCTAGGAATTTAGCTCAGCTAGCAGAATGCCTGTCTAGCATGCTGAAGCCATGAGTTCAAGCCCCAGCCAGCACTGTCCAAATCAGGCCCTGGTGGGAAAAATGTTATCCCTAGAGATTAGGGGGAGGTAAGGCAGGAGGATTAGAAATTCAAAGGCATGCTCAATACATACTGAGTTCAAGGCCAGCATGAAATATCTTAGAGAGAGAGAGAGGAAAAAGGAAGGAAGAAAAAAAAAAAAAACAGACCAGGCAGTGGTAGGTAGCTCTGAGTTTGAGGCCAGCCTCGTCTACAGAGCTACTTTAGACAGCTAGGGCTACACAGAGAAACCCTGTCTTCAGAAACAAATGAAAAAACCAAAACACTTTTTTTCTTCCAAGATAAATGGTCCCAAACCACATGAAAATGTCCGGTACCACCAGCTAGGATGAGCTACTTCACACTTCCCGGGGACTTAAGGCACTTGCTGACCAGAGTCCCAGCAGCACTCTGCGCCACAGCCAGTGGAGGGAAAGCCCAATGTCCACTATCAGTGACCATGACCACACTGTCAAACAAAGCAGCCCTGACACACGCTGTAGTCGGGGTGGGGGATATGACTGAGGCGGCAGGGTCAGTGGAAGTATGCCAAGATCAAAGCCATGAGCTCGGGAGCCTACTTGTGTCAGTAGCACTGGAAAAGTCAGGATAGAACAAAGGGGACCCAGGGACATGGGAAAAGGCCATCTGGGACAAACAAAGTTTTACAAACACTGGTGACAGCATGGTGTGATCGTGCTGAAAGCCACTGAACCAAAGCCTCAAGATGGTGCATGCACGGCATAACATGACCAAGATGCTGTGTCATGGATGGTTTCCTAGGTAAGAAAACCCCGAGGACTAATACCTTCAATCAAATGTAAGCAAAGCCGGAGACACTCAACTCTCTAAGCTGAATCTGTTTTGCCTGGGTGTGGTACTGCATACCTGTAATCTTAGCACTTGGGAGGCAGAGACAGGATCGGATCAGCCTCAGCCATACAAGACCCTGTGTCAAAACACAGATCCAAACAAAAGCACCTATCTGTGTAAATGTGCAAATTGACAAGCGTCACAAAGGTCAGCCTCTAGAGATGAAATCTGCTACAGGGGCGTCCAAGGCCAGTGCGGCAGTACCCACCTTGTTAATAATGCCTCCGTTCTCAACCACTCCTTCAGCACCAACTATGACAAGATCTGCTTTCTCCATGATGTAGCTGAGGAAATGGACAAGAGGAAAGGCTTCACATACTTTTCTTGGCTCTAGTTAATGTCTGATGATGGTGGGTTCTTCCCACAGCTGCCGTTTTCACAGGGTGTCTGCCACAGGCAGCTGCCCTGGCGCTGTACCTTGCCACGGCATTAAAACTGTTGAGCCAAGGTCTCAGTTTGTAGCCTTGGTTGGCCTGGAACTCAGAGATCCACCTGCCTCTGCCTTGCAGTGCTAATAGGTTGAATCACAGGTTACTTTTTGAGACAGTCAGAGCTGCTGAAAGTGCTTATGGAACACACTCCTAGCCTCCTTAGTAATACACTTTCTTTCCCAGAGAATACTCGTCTTCAGAGATAGACACTGACGGCCCAGCTGGGACAAAGCCTCAGCAAGTACTGACCACCTAACTGCTCTGCACAGGCTGACTTTATCCTTTTACTCTGAAAACAGGAACAGCTGAGTGTTGCACCCTTGCTAGCAATTCCAGCATTTGGGAAGCTGAGGAAGGACTGAGTTCCAGGCCAGACTGGGTTACAGGAGCCTGTTTCAGAAATAAGACCCCCGCCACTAACATGCATGAACACAGGTCCCATGCTGGGCCCTCTCACGAGCCTTGTGATAACCTTCCTACTGCAGAGTGGCTGCCTATTTGTTAAGGGAGAGATGCTGCCCAGTCAGATTTTATGGATGGGATTCACACTCCAATTCGAAAGCCCTGCTTGGAGCCAGCACGCACACTTACCCAACAGCAGCATCCAGCACCACGGTGACAGGAACATTGAGGTGGCAGAGGGCTTTGGCCATTTTCTTCCTGAAGGTGACACGAGGACATTAGATAAAGTCAAAAAAAGGTCCCACAGTGATGCATGAAGAACTTGATTTAGACAGAGATGTCCTGTGACCTCAGTGGCTTATGGGGCAGGTCGTGACTCTGCACCAGGGAAAGGAGAACCCAAGTTCTTTAATTTACAAGAGTTGCTGTGGTTATTGTGTCTCCGCACACCAAGAGAAACCCCTAAGACTATGAGTGTTTTCCCTGCATGGGTCAGACACACCACATGTATGCCTGGTGTCTGAGGAGGCCAGAAGAGGGCGTGGGATTCCCTAAAGATAGAGCTACAGATGGTTGTGAACCACCATTTAGGTATTGGGGACTGAACCCAGATCTTCTGCAAGAGCAATCAGTGAGCCATCACTGGTTCTTTCTCTTTTTGAAACAGGGTTTCCCTGTGTAGCCTTGGATGTCTTGGAACTTGTTCTGTAGTACATCAGGCTGGCTTTGAACTCAGAGATCTGCCTGCCTCTGTCTCTCAAGTGCTGGACTAAAGGTGTGCGCTACCGTGCCTGGCTTATCACTAGTTTCTTAAACTACAGAGTTGTGGGTACAACTCCGGGGTGCCTGACTAGCATGTGCAGGACCTGGATTCACTCCTCAGCATGACAAAGAAAAACAAAAACTATACTCTTAAAGGGACCTGGTAATGCAGTTTGCTTTTCGTGTCATCTGGAGATGGTTTTGTCAATCACCAACTGGTAAAAGCTTTTCATACAGTCGTCTGCTGTTCCTCTGATGTAACTCTCTAAAGAAAAATCCTTAAAGGTTGGAGAGATGGGTCAAGGTTAAGCTGCTCTTCCAAAGGTCCTGAATTCAAATCCCAGCAACCATATGGTGGCTCAAAACCATCCATAACAAGATCTGGTGCCCTCTTCTGGCCTGCAAGCATACATTCAGACAAAACACTGTATATGGATTAAGTAAATAAATCTTAAAAAAAGAAAACTTAAAAAAAAAAGCAAAACCCTAAAAATTGAAAAATAAGCAAAAAAAGCTACAGCCTGTACTGTGCCCCTCAAACCCACAGGGACTTTCCTCCCAGAGTCAGAACAGTCATGAATGGGTCCAAGGCAATGCTGACTCACTGGCCAGTGGCAAGATACTTGCCCGGATAAATCAGGCTGAGACTCCGTGATATACACACTGAACCGCTTCTTGGCTGCCACGGCTTCTTCTAGGACCCTCAGGACGACTCTGGAGTAGGCGTGAGTTAAAATTCTCTATGGAACAAGAAACCTCATCAGAGGGGTGGGCTGCCAGTCAGCCACTGCCTGTGCTGTCCGCGCTGCTATATGACGCGTGCTTACAGTCCTGTATGCTGCAGATCAACCACAATCGGAAGGGTGACTCTGACAGCCCACGGAAGTTCAACACTCCTGCCCGAGAGGAACCCAAACGTACAGAAGACATCACGGGTTGGCTCCATGCCAATAAGCTAGAGCTTGCACACTTGGGCTTACAGGTGCTGGGAAGGGGAGGTAACACAGGACCTGATGAGACCCTGGCAGCGCAAGGCCAGGGAAACCAGGCCCGAGGGGCCCTCTGTCACATCATCCCAGAGCCACCTAAGTTTTCTAGAAGAGGTAAAAATCTAATATCTAACTGTATACAAGTTACGCTAAGAGATTTCATTTCCAAAACTGACGAGCACTGTGGGGTTAATACAGCTTCTGGCACAGATAACTGTGGACTCACACAGACTATGTATGCTCTAGGATGCAGAGGACCACACAAGGCGCGGTGGTGGACACGATTCCCCCACCGCGAATCACAAGTCGCATTTTGAATCTGAGGAGTCTTCATTTAACAACCCTGAGGGTGATCTGACCACAGGTTCAAGATTCAGCAGCTTGGTTTGTAACTCAGCTGTAAACCCCAGTTAAGAGCTGTGGGTGGTGCGGATAAGAAACACACACCACAGTCACATACTGTGAGAGCTAAGTAGTGTCATGGCTGGGCCTCCACTTGGCCTAGGTGTGTCTGACACTGCCATTAACACAGCTCCGTGTCCACCTCCCAGTAAGTTACAAATATTTAATAGCACACTTCAAAGCTGGGAAATGCAGTAAAGCCATGATGTGATGCAGGTAAATAGAGACGTGGTGCATGGAGGCTGAGTGGTGGGGGCTGTGCTGATGCTCAGGAAACATGACGGCTTCATCACCTGGTGGAGTGGACAAGCTGGAGACTGGCTCTACCTGCCAATCCCCACTTGACGAGGACAGCTCCACCCAGGACTGATGCTGGCTCAAATACGTGGCAGTGACCATAGGAACAGCTGGTCTGGACAGACTCATTTCAGGTTAGAGATCTAAGTACACACCCAATCTAAAAACACTTCTTCAGAGCAGATGCAATGGCTCAGTGGGTAAAGGGGCTTGTCACTAAGCCTTAAACCCTCAGATCCTCCGCAGTGGGAAGACCTTCACACACTCGCTGTGGCGCCTCTGCACACTCACACACACACATAATTAAGAAACAAATATAATTAAAAACACTTCTTAAAAAAAATAGCTTGCTAAGAGGCTATGGGTGTAGTTCAGTGGTAGAGCAGGTCTAGCATGTCTGAGGTCCTTACTTTCATCTCCAGATCCAATTTAAAAAAAGGCTAAAATCAAGACTCACTTATGTTGGTCCCATGTTCTCCCGGTTCACACTGGTGAGCCTCTATAGTATCTGTGTTTGCAGAGCACTGGCTACAGGAGGTATCTCATTTATGCCCCATCCACCCAGCCAGTCAGCTGCTGCTGTCCTTATTAACAGACTAGAAAACTGCAAGACAGAGAAGTGACTTGTCCCTGGGCCCAGCAGTAGGTGGTGGAGTCAGGACTTTAGGCCCAGTAGCCTGACTCCAAAGCTCTTGATTCTAGCAGCACAGGGGAGCCGTGTACTCACCGCCCCGTCTTTGATGAAAGTATGGCACAGATCCGCAATTTTATTTCTTGACAGGGATATTCTCCTGAGGAAAAGCTCTCCTCTCTCAATCATGATCTTCTTACACTTGGAGTAATCCTGGGGAGAGGAGCAAAATGAAGGGAGACCGCAGGACGCTGACAGTATCTGCAGGCCAACAGAGAAGCGGAAGAGGCTCCCGAGGGAGGGGGCTTACAGAGTACTCCAGGGAGGTGAGGCTGATGAAGCGGAGGAAGAGCTCTCCACCAGAGGACACGGCCACGGACGAGTCCACGCCACACAGGGTTTCTATGGCACTGGTGAGGTTCGCCCTCAGGCCCTGTAGTGTCTCCCCTGCAATGACGTCAGGAATGTGATGTTCATTTAGGGTGACGGCCCTTGCGGGCCTGCACTTCATCCACTCTTACAAAGAACACTGGCTGCATCTTTGTGCCAGCCACTGGGAGATGCTGCATGACAGGGCTCTGTTCTCACGAACAATAAACAACAGACAAGTGACAAACTGTCAGAGGACAGGAGACGGTAGGACGATGAACAAGAGTGAGCTACTGTAAAGGGCTAGCCTCTGGCATTACAGGCCATTTAAACGGAGACTTGGATAGAAAAGGACCCAGTGAGGACAGCTTCTGTGTAGACATCAGTGATACAAAGACCCAAGGTAGGAACACACTTGGTATAAAGAGCAAAGAAGGCCAATGAGATGACTGAGCAAAAGCACTGTGCGGCTCAAGCATGGTGGCCTGAGTGCAAAAGACCCAACTCCGGAAAGCTGTCCCCTAAGCACGCTAGCTCACCGTGGCAATATGCATACCACACTCATGCACACGCTAATAATAAGATAGAAATTAAAAATTCAAGAAGCCAGCAGGGCTGCGCTCATGTTTTCTGCAGTAAACAACAGCGTGGCAGATGGTGAGACAGTGCGGGTCCACAGTATCTGAATGTGTGTACGTTGGGAAGACACTCGAGGCTGTGTTAGAGAAATTTTTCTCTTGGCCACCCCAAGAGAATAAAAAAGGCATCATTATAATTTCTGTGTAAAAGAGGTCATATTATGCCAAAATCTTAAGATTACAATATTTGTTTAGTAGATCCCAATGAATATTGATGCCAGATTTTTTTTACCCCCGAGACAGGGTTTCTGTGTAGCCCTGGATGTTCTGGAACTAGCTAGTTCTGTAAACCAGGCTGGTCTTGAACTCACAAAGATCTGCCTGTCTCTGCCTCCCAAGTGCTGGGAGTAAAGGCAAGCGCTACCAGAATATTTTGTTTGTTTTTGGAGACAGGTTTCTGGGTGTAGCCCTGGCTGTCCTCCTGAAACCCACTCTGGCCTTGAACTCAGAGATCCGCCCACCTCTGCTTCCAGAGTGTTGGAAAAGCTATTGGTGTGTCAGACAGACTTTAGAGGCCAAGCCCAGGGGTTAGTAGTCTAGGGAGTCCTAGGAGTGCTAGGATCAAAGGTGTGTGCCACTACACCTAGCAATATTTATTCTGGAACATTCGCTATAGCATCTGCACAGAATCTAGGACAAGCTAGGAGCTTGGTACTCATCTATAAAGCTAAATTATTGCTTTAATTTAAGCCTTTTGGCCAAGACTGTTAAACTGACTCTTGATTCCCAGCGTATTTTATAGGTAGATAGGTGTCCTTTAGGTGACAGCCTGAGGGCTCCCTGGCCAAAAGGATGGACGCAGAGACAGAAGCTGAGCTTGAGACTGTAGGCAGACCTGCGCGGCTCCCTGTCCCTGTTCACTCTCCTAGAAGTGATCTGAAAACGTTCTTAGGGCCTTAGGGCCCAGGTTGTCAAGGGTGACTCTTTGTACCTTTGTCTCTCTTCAAGAACTCCAGCAAGGTCTGGATGGCAGCCACTGCTGAGGCCATGTTAGGATCGCCTTTCATCTGAGACTTAAAGTATTCAATTAACTCTAGGAAGAGAGAAAAAAACACGAGTCATCACCCAAACTTAGCAAGATGAGGCTAGAGCGCTTGGTAACAGCTACTGACCTTGAATAAGAAGCAAAAACATTAAAAACATTTTTTTTTAAAAAAAGGGCGGCTTTTAAAGTTACAGGGAACAAGTGTTGATTGGGATAGGAGATACTTCCGTACTATTGGCAGGGACACCTCTTTCATATTGGTTTTTCTTCTTTCTTTTTAGTTTTTTTGAGACAGGGTTTCCTCTATAGCTTTTGGAGCCTGTCCTGGAACTCGCTAGGCAGACCAAGCTGGCCTTGAACTCGCTGAGACCCTCCTGCCTCTGCCTCCAAAGCGTTGGAAAAGCTATTGGTGTGTCAGACAGACTTTAGAGGCCAAGCCCAGGGGTTAGTAGTCTAGGGAGTCCTCTCATCCACTTTATTAATCTCTCCTGCAGCCTTCTGAGCAGTCTACAGTCAAGTCTATTCGTGTGCCCAAATACAAATGGGAAAATGTATACAGTTCTACCTAGCTTATTTTTCATTAAAGTAAGTATATTAGTTTGTTTTTCACTCAACAGAAACATCCTGGTACCCATGATGGATAAGCAAACCAACGATGCCTTATTCCTTCAAGTAGGGACGTGTCTTCTTACTGCGCAGAGGACACCCGGACACAGAGGCTTGCACACTGACTCTGAGAGCCAGTTTTTGTTTGTTTTTCGAGACATGGTTTCTCCGTGTGACAGTCCTAGCTGTCTCGGAACTCGCTCTGTAGACCAGACTGGCCTCGAACTCAGAGATCCGCCTGCCTCTGGCTCCCGAGTGCTGGGATTAAAGGCGTGCGCCACCACGGCCCGGCAAGAGAGCCAGTTTTTTGGAAGAGGCCCCTCGGACAGCGTGTGCTGAAGCCAGTTTGCGCTCGTCCGAGAGGCCCAGACCACGACACAAAAGCAGTGAGAGCAGGAAGCAGCTCGAGCCCGGACTGCCCGTGTCCCCGCCGCTCGGATCACCCACTCACCGTGGTTCTCCATCCCTTCTCCGCGAGCCTCGCAACCGCGCCGGCAGCAAGCCACAGGCTGACAGCGTGTCGCACGCTTCAAACATCACTTCCTTCGCCTCGAAGTTGAGGTGACGTCGTTTGTCAGCGCCGGAAGTTGGCGTGCCCGCGTCGAACCGTGGGCGGCTCTCCACCGAGGCGTAGGGGCGCCATGGCCACAGACGGTGAGGGTGGCACGGGCCGGACGCGGAGCTGGGCTGGGAGGGACACGTTTGGTTGTTAAACGAACAGCCAGTGTAGTCGTTCGTTCACTCAGCAATTTCATTGTTGAGACAGGGTCTCACATAGAACTCGTGATGTCAAGGATGGTCTTGAACTCTTGATCCTCCAGCCTCTAGCGTGCTGGAAATCACAGGCTTGCCAGTGGTACTCAGATCTTTGTGTTTTCTCAGTAGGCTTTCCACCAGTTGAGTCCCATCCCCAGCCCTAGTATTTTTACGTAGGCGCCCTCTCCTGCTTTAGCCTTCCGAGTTCTGGGGTTACATGCCTGCATTAGCACGCCGGTGTGTCGTTCGGTAAATACTGGAATTGTCCCCGTGTACTGAACGTTATTCTCGAAACCGGAGGGTACAGCACAGAATCAACACAGGGAAGCTTGAGTGTGTGGTGTCACTCAGTCGAGAGGGGCGGTTGACAAGTGAAATCATTCCAAGAGGTGAGCAGGGCTGTGAGGACAAACGTGTGGCAACTAAGTTCAAGAGGGCTGTCTTTCGTTAGGACTCCAGGAGAGATGGAGACACTAGAACTGGATTGAGCAACACTATGAAGTTCACTTTAAGTACAAACATCCTGGGAGGTTAAACTTAGAAGAGCAAAATGGGCAGTGGGCGGATAGAGGAAGGTGAGAGAGAGGCTTGTATTCATATACTAACTTGCTAGTTACAGCTTTTAAATTACATTTCCTCCCAAAGATTCTTGCGTTTATTTATTTTGTGTGTGTGTGTGTGTGTGTGTGTGTGTGTGCGCGCACACACACTTAGGAAGTCAGAGGCAAACTTGTGGGAATCGGTTCTCTTATTGATTGTTTAGGTTTGCGGGATTGAACTCAGGTCATCGGGCTTGTGAGCAATCGCCTTTACCAGCTGAGCCCTCTCACTGGCCCCGAGTTATTTAGATTGACAACATTAGAAGCGTCACTTTGGCTACTGTGTGAGAAATGGATTCTGGGGAGCAAGAGTAATTAGGGAAGTGCACTCAGCAGTCGTAGCCATGACCCACACCTCTGTGAGAAAGGCGGACCTGGCACAGCTTGTCAGCCAGGGAGGCAGAGGCTGAAGGAGCCTGGCAGAGACGTTTCAGGCGCACACTTCTGACAGGCAGCGCACTGTTTTCTTTCTTAGTCTTCTTGGTACTGTCAAGGAAGGGAGCCTAAGCAGGATTTGGTTCTGCAGAAACCAGAGGTGGGGGATGGTCCTGGTGAAGGAGCTGGGCTGGGAGAAGGAAGGTAGGAGGCAGTAAGTTGGGCACACACTCGCCCAGCTCTGTTATTATGTGCGCATCCAGGCTTTTCATGACAGCAGGCATTGGCAGGGTTGCTTTGTCCCTTCAAGTGCAGGCTCTTGGCTGGGTGTGGTGCCAGATGCCTGTAATCCCAGATACTCAAGAGATAGGAGGTTACCAAATCAAGGCCAGCCTGGGCAATTTTTTAAGATGCTGTTTTAAAGGGTCATGTTTCCTAGGGAGATGACTCAGTGGTTCAGAGTACTATCAGGGGACCCTGGTTAGTCCAGCAGCCACATAGCTGCAGAAACCTCCAGGGGATATGGTGCCATCTCCCAACCTCTGAGGGCACTTCATAAATGTGGCACACATACATATCCGCAGTCAAAGCTCTCACTCATATAGAATAAAATAAATGTAATTTTTTTTTTGTTGTTGTTTTTTCGAGACAGGGTTTCTCTGTGGCTTTGGAGCCTGTCCTGGAACTAGCTCTGTAGACCAGGCTGGTCTCGAACTCACAGAGATCCGCTTGTCTCTGCCACCCGAGTGCTGGGATTAAAGGCGTGTGCCACCATCGCCAGGCAAATGTAATTGTTTTTAAGTAAGAAAATGCTGGGGCTGTCGTTTGGTGGCAGAGCCCTTTCTTACCATGTAGGAGTTCCTGTGTTCATTCCCAGGACCAGACTAAATGAAGCATAGGTTCTTTGAGGACTCGGAGCCAGGACCTCCATCACTAGTCATAGTTATTACTGTGGCTGTTTATTGAAAGCTTGTGTTAGGGGCCTGCTTTGTTGTGTCTGTCAGTGTAGATAGTGGCCTAATTCTTTTACATGGCAAAACTTTGTTCACAGCTGGGCAGTGGAGGCTCACACTTTTCATCCCAGCATTTGGGAATCAGAGGCAGGCAGATCTCTGTGAGTTCGAGGCCAGCCTGGTCTACAAGATCAAGTTCCATGACAGCTAGTAATAATAATAATAAAATTGTTCACATAAGAATTGTTTTCCCCTCTTTGGTTCTTTTAAAAAGTTGATCCCTGGTCTGGGAATGTAACAATATAGTAGAATCCTTGCCTGACATTCACAGAGCCCTGGTTTGGTCCCCAGCACTGTTTCCCACCAGATGGGCTGGTACAAGGAAGAGACTGAAGGATCAGAAGTTTGATGTTATCCTTAGCTACGCAAGGCGTTTGAGGCCAGCCTGTGCTATATAAATAAAAACTAAATAAATAAAATATTCTTAATCCCCGCTGGCTTGGCTGTTGTACGATGGCTCATCCTGGCTGCTCATGGACCAGCCTCGTGGCTCAATGTTCCCTAATCTGCTTGAAACCCTATCTTGGAGATTCCTGTTGCTCATTCAGTAAGCTCAAGACCAGGCTTTAAAATGTGGATTCCGCCGGGCGGTGGTGGCGCACGCCTTTAAACCCAGCACTCGGGAGGCAGAGGCAGGCGGGTCTCTGTGAGTTCGAGGCCAGCCTGGTCTACAAGAGCTAGTTCCAGGACAGGAACCAAAAAGCTATGGAGAAACCCTGTCTCGAAAAATCAAAAAATAAAATAAAATAAAATGTGGATACCTTTGGGTTAAGTCAGTATACATTTGTGGAGTGTCCACCACATGCCAGGAGCAGAGGGTTGGCATGACCCACCCACAGCCTAGCCCTTATAGTGCTGGGGGCAGGTGAGTGCTAAGAAGGTCTGCCCAGCTCCTCAGCCCTGGTCGGCTCGGCCTGGACCTGGTTTTGAACTCGGGGAGATCCATCTGCCTCCTCCAAATGTTGGGATTCCCTGGCATTTAAAATTAAATTTTTTCTTAACATTTATTGTGTGTGTGTTAGTGGGCAGCTTTGTTAAGTCAGGACTCACCTAACCATGTGCATCCCAGGAACTGAACTCTGGTCATTGGGCATGGCTGTAGGCCTTTACCTCGTAAGCCATCTCTGACCCTTTTTTTTTTTTGGTTTTTCGAGATAGGGTTTCTCTGTAGCTTTGGTGCCTATCCTGGAACTAGCTCTTGTAGACCAGGCTGGCCTCGAACTCACAGAGATCCGCCTGCCTCTGCCTCCCGAGTGCTGGGATTAAAGGTGTGCGCCACCACCGCCCGGCTCTGACCCTTATTTTATATAATGAGATACTGGCTCTCAAACCAAGGGCTTCCCCAATACCAGGCAAGCACTCTAATCATTTAGCTGTGTCTTCAGCCCATAATTTTTAAGGAAACTTGGCTCTTTGGGTGAGCTCTGATCCGTCAAAGGATGATAGCCATATGAGGCCCTCTAGTTATTAAATGACCGTCGGGAATGTTGTCTGTATTTCAGTTTCATGAGGCTGACATTTTGAAATGTTGCTCTTGTTCCTGTTTGCAGAAGATGAGTTGAATCTTCTGGTTATCATAGTTGACACCAACCCGATTTGGTGGGGAAAGCAAGCATTAAAGGGATCTCAGGTAAGATGGCTTGAGCCTTCCCACGATTCTCCTTAATTTCAGTTTGTGTGTATGCCACCCACTACCCTGCAAGCAGTATTGAGTCCTTACAAGCCGGGTGTGATGGCCCTCGTCCAGTCCTAGCCCTTAGGTGGAGGCAGGCAGATCTCAGGAGGTCAGGCTCATCTTTCCAGTCTAGGTGTCTAGAGACACTGTCGGAAAGGAGAGCTGTGAGCCTATAACAGCCGCCAGTTAGACCGTACAGACCAGGGAGTTCTTAGAGCAGGGAGATGTGTACCTGGCCCCACCGTTCCCAGGACCGCACATGAAGTCCTCAAGCCTGGTGACCTGTTGACTGTCACCCTCTTCCGGCCTACTTATGCAGGCAGCTGATTGCCTCCTGTCTATTTTGCTTTTCTAAACAGTTCCTATATCTCTTGTATGAGGAGGCATCTTCTGTTTTATATCTGCTTGGGGGAGGAGGGTATGGTGTGCCGCAGCACGTATATGGAGGTCAGTGAACAACTTTTGGGGGCCTGTTCTTCAATCATGTGCGCTCTAGGGATCGAGCTCAGCTCATCAGCCTTGGTTTAAAGCTCCTTTAACCATTGAGCTATCCCACCAGACCTCGTCTTTGGAGTTTTGAGATAGGTAGGGTCATCCTTTTGTGTTTTTACATTTAGTCTTTGTTTGTGTATGTGTGGGGATGCTTGCATGTTGTAGATACCTGTGGTTAGTTTGCTTCTTTCTCCAAGTGCTCCCCAGGCATCAAAGTTCCTGTATTTGTGGAGCCATCTCATTGACCCAAGTTTTAAATTTTGATGAAACAAGCTGGGCGGTGGTGGCACATGCCTTTAATCCCAGCACTCGGGAGGCAGAGGCAGGCAGATCTCTGTGAGTTCGAGACCAGCCTGGTCTACAAGAGCTAGTTCCAGGACAGGCTCCAAAATCACAGAGAAACCCTGTCTCGAAAAACCAAAAAAAAAAAAAAAAAAATTGATGAAACACAGCTTATTTATTAAAACAAAACAAACGAGATTGTGCTTTTTAAAAAATTTTTTTCAGTACAGGAATTTGGGTATCCCAGGCTGGCCTTGAACTTGCTGTACAGCCTGAGGATGAACTTCTGGTTCAGCTGCCTCTGTCTCCTAAGTTCAAGGTTTCCAAGTTTACTTATGTGGCCCCACCATGGCAGTATTTGAGAAGTAATGTTCTCGTGTATAAATGATTCTGTCAGTAAAGTCAAGAAGGCTTCCTCTCAGGTGCTGTGCTTCCGGTTTTAGAAGCAGCAGAGCTGAGCCGATTTTTAGTGTTGAGTCACTGTGTCGGATGTCGGTGACTGTCCATCGGCACATAGTGGCACATGTCATGACGGGGAGGTAGAGACAGGTGAATTGCTGGACATTTGTTGCCCAGGCCAAGGCTCTTTCTTAAACACACCAGTGTATAAGTAAAGCTAAGTAATGAAAACCGATTGGTTTTTCAATGCCGTCTTCATCAGGAGCTGACTTGTTTTTCCCATGTTTGTCAGTTCACTTTATCCAAGTGCATGGATGCTGTGATGGTGCTGGCGAATTCCCACCTCTTCATGAACCGCTCCAACCAGCTGGCGGTGATAGCCAGCCACATCCAGGAAAGGTAGGACCAGTGCTCTGCTGGGGCTGCTTTCTAGTCCTTGCTGGTTTCATACACGTGTGTAGACATGCTGGTTACTTTACCCTGTCAGCCGATTCTTATACCCGGGGAAGAATGGCAGACTTGGAGACTTCTTCGGAGACCCTGGCAACCCGATTCCTGACTATAATCCCTCCGGGAGTAAAGACGGGAAATATGAATTGTTGACAGCTGCAAATGAGGTGATCGCTGAGGAGATCAAAGATCTGATGACCAAAAGTAAGAGCCTGGCTATAGTCACTGTTACCTCCCTGTAGTGAGACTGTTGTATGCTTTTAAAATGTAAGGTTTGTATTGATTCTTTGAGAATTTCATGCGTACCATGTATTTTGGTGATATTTGCCAACCCCATTCTTCCTAACCCTTCCTATCTCCTCACCCCCTCCCAACTCTCTCTCTCTCTTTAATAATCTGACCAGGGTTGCAAATGCCTTTGATTTCAGTACTCAAGAGACAGAGGCAGACAGATCTCCTGTGAGTTCTAAGCCAGCCTGGTCTACTTATCCAGTTCTAGGAGAAAGTTTGTCTCAAAAACAAAAAACAAAACAAAACAAAGAACCCTCTTGTGTTGCCCATATTCTCACAGTATGGGCCATGTCCTGGAGTATGGTTGCCCTGTCAGGGACCACACCCTTAAAAAAAGCCAACCTTGTCACCCCAGGCCATCGGTTGTTAATGGCTTCCCAGCTAGGGGAGGCCCATGCGTCTGTCTATCTTAGTTACGTTTCTATTGCTGTTAAAAAGCACTATGACCAGGGCAACTTACAAAGCATTTAATTTGGGATTCATGGTTCCAAAGGGTAGTAGAACCTTCGTGGTAGGGAGCATGGCGGCAGGCAGGCAGGCTTGGTGCTGAAGCAGTAGCTGAGAATTTACATCTAATCCAAAAGCACAGAGTAGGGGAAGAGCTAACTGGAAATGGCAAGAATTTTTGAAACCTCATAGTCCACCCCTGGTGACAAATCTCCAACAAGACCACACCTCCTAATCCTTCCCAAACAGTTCCTCCAGGTGGGGCCCAGGAATTCACATGTATGAGCCTGTGGCAGCCATTTTCATTCAAACCGCCGCAACCTCTTGCTGCTATTGGAGAGGACCCAGGTCTGGTTCACAGCACCCATGTAGGGAGGCTCAGTGCCCCTCTAACTCCAGTTCCAGGGTGGCCAATACCCTCTGGGCCTCTGCAGGCATCATGTACACAGACACACACACACATACACACACAAATTAAAAAAAAAAAAATGGGTTTCTAAACAATAAATTTTTTTGAGACAAAAATCTTCCTGTGTCTCCCTGACTGGCTTGGAGCTAGCTATGTAGACCAGGCTGCCTGCCTCCCCCTCCAGCACAGTGGGATTAAAGGTGTAGGCTACCACACCTGGCTCCATCTTAACCAGTTCTGAGTGTACAGCTGAGTAGTGCTAGGTGTGCACACTGTTTCAAGGCCATCCTACTGGCCTTATCCTAACCTTATCAAGAACCTTATCCTAAATAAAATTCCACGTCCTTTATTTTAGTTTTTTACTTTTCGTCTTGGTTTATTTTACTTTATGTGTATGAATGTTTTGCCAGCATGTGTGTCTATGCACCATTGTGTGCCTGGTTTTTGTGGAGGCCAGAAGAGGGTATCAGATCCCTTGGAGCTGGTGTTATAAATGATTGTGAGCCCCCACTTGGATGCTGGGCTTTGAACCCAGGTCTTCTGGAAGAGCAGCCAGAGCTCTTAAGAACCCAGTCACCTTTCCAGTCCTTCTCCAGCCTCTAAATACCAACTCCCATCTCTGCCTCTCCTTCCCCTAAATAAACACCTAGACACTTTGAAGAGAGGCGTGGAGTAGCTTACTTGGGTTTGCTGATTATTCGTCTCCGTGTTTTGAAATCCGCTTTGAACATGTCATCTTGTGATTCATTCATGAATACTTGCATTTCATAATGACTTTATTTGAAAAAAAGACTTAGAATTTCCCCATTTTGTGCTCTTTTACATTTGCAGGTGACATAAAGGGCCAGCACACAGAGACATTGCTAGCAGGATCCCTCGCCAAAGCCCTTTGCTGTATCCTTATGCTAGTGTATTACAAGGCAGCTTTTTGTAGCGATGGTGTTTAGCTGGTGGCTTCTCCAAGACCTTGTTCTCTAACACTCATGTGCAGTGGCTCCTTTGGCCCTTCAGGATGTTCCCATGACCATCCGAAAAGCCTGGTGCTGCTTCTTAGTGAGGTATTGCTTTGTTTCTTTTGTTTTGTTTATCTTATTTTAAGAATGAGTGTTTTGCCTGAGTATATCTCTGTGTACAGTGTGGGCATCTGGAACATGTGGAAGTCAAAAGAGGGCATTAAATCCCCTAGAACTGGAGTTGCAGGTGGTTGAACCACCATGTAGATGCTAGGCACCGAGGCTGGGATCTCTGCAAGAGCAACCGGTGTTGTGCCCTGCTGAGCCATTTCTCCAGCTTCTTGCTTCTTACTCTGATAATCTAGTACTTGCTTTGATCTTATTCCTTGAATTGCCATCTCTGGTACTGATTTTAAAAGTTGTTTCCCAATCTCAGGGTTTAATTAGTGAGCGGCACTCTGTGGGTGAGCAGGTGACCTGGCCCGAAGCACAGGGCAGCCAGACTCTTCCTGATTTCACGTGTCGTGGGCTCTCACTTCACTTTTGTGAAGTGTCTTTGAACAGTATTGAGTGCTGTTTACGTCCTGGCGTTTTTATCCAGTTGTCCCGATCCTCTTTATGCCTTTCAAATTCATCATCTCGCTGAAGGGACCCACTGGTTTGGGTGTGGCCCCAGTATTGGTATCAGGGATGGTGGATGGTCAGCTGTCTGTGCTGTGGGCTTCAGTGCAGAGCTCATGCTTCCCTTGCTGAGTTCAGAATTGGGTACTGAACCCAGGCCCACCCATATGGCTGTCATGGCAGGAGATGGGAGGGGGCTGGCTTAAAGTCTGAAGGTCTGTTTTCCTGTTAGTGTGGATGTTTGTGAAGCAGCATGTTAATTTTCCTTAATGTTAACAATCCAGATATTCACAGAGTGAGCAAGGCAGTTAAAGGTAGGAGCTGATTGTTTTGCAACTACCGCCCTTTGATTTTAGTGCTGCGTGCTTGGTGGGGTATTTTAGAATTGCTGAACACTCAGAGGCAGGCAAATCTCTGGGAGTTTAAGGCCAGCCTGGTCTACATAATAAGTTCCAGGCCAGTCAGGGCTGTAGAATGAGATCCTTTCTCAAAATAATATAAAATAACAATTGCTTAGAAAACCACATACTTTTTAAGCTATCTTGTTTGTTAAATTATCTGTTTTTGTCTCTTTATAGATAATCAGGAGATGAAATCAAGGATTTTGGTAAGGTTATACACAATTTAGATATAATTACAGACAGGTGGAAACCATGGGAATGAGTCCAGGTGTGATGTCACAGGCATTTAAATCCAGCACTGGGAGAGGGAGACTCAGGCTGATCTCTGTGAGTTGAAGGACAATGTGATCCTACATAGCAAGTTCCAGGTCAGCCAGGGCTGCGTAGTAAGACCCTGTCTCACAAAGCCATCTGGAAAAGCATTTTCAACATTGTTACTTTTATAGAAAATTACTATTTCTAAAATCAAGAGCTCTTGGGCCAGTGAGATGGCTCTGTGAGTAAAGGTGCCTAGCCTGATGACTTCAGCCCCTAGGGCCCACGTGTATGGAGAGAACTAACTCCCAGTGTTGTCCCCTGGCCTCCCAGTGCATGCTGGGTACGCTGGACAGATGCCCATCAGTCTGTCAAGGACCAGGACGGATCTGGTGTCACCATTTACTTCAGGGGTTTAGTACTGAGTAGGAAGATAGACTGGAGAAGTGGCCCCGGGTTTAGTACTGAGTAGGAAGATAGACTGGAGAAGTGGCCCCGTCTGTGACTTGCAGCAGGTCATGTCCCAGTGAGTCCTGGGAGGAGCTTGAGGTCGAACAGCTGTGTTTGCAGGTGATCAAGGCTGCAGAGGACAGCGCACTGCAGTACATGAACTTCATGAACGTCATCTTTGCTGCTCAGAAGCAGGTGAGACATCAGCCTTCCTGATTTCTGAGAGAAATCCTCGGAGACCGGGTGTGGTGGTGCATACCTTTCTGAGTTGGAGTCCAGGCTGGTCCATATAGAGAGTTCTAGGACATCCCGAGGCTCAAAAAACAAAACAAAAAACCCAAAAAATGTGGTCACTGTCATTCAGTGTGGTTCTGGTTGTGGCTTGGGGATTCAGAATCCACACAGGGTACCTGTCATCCTGGGTCCTTGCGACTGGGCGGTGTTCTCGGAACACTCCAGCTTGGTTTGCATCAGATGTCATGCTGCTCATCCCGTTAGCCCACATATGGCTAAGACTCCCCGGGTTGATGGTTTGATACAGGAACCCTCAGCTTTACCATCTTTTGTATTTTTTTAATTTTTGGCAGTGTCATTTAACCCAAGACTTTCACATATGTGACGAGCTCTACGTGACCTGAGTGTCCCCAAGGAGCTTCTTGTTTTGTGTTGAGACAGGCGGGCTCTTGCTAACTTGCCCAGGCTGGTGTCAGCTCCCTGCAGTCCATACAGGCCTGGAACTTGAGAAGCCTGTGTCAGTCTGCTGGGCAGCTGGCTAACTGTGTGCGCTGTTCACCTATAGTTTCTCATTTGATGCTAGTGTGGTGTGTGCTGTGCAGATAACTGAGATGTTCGGATAACCTGATGCATCATCTTTGTTCTCTGTTTTTTATTTCTTTTTTTTAATATTTATTTATTTATTATATATACAATATTCTGTCTGTGTGTATGCCTGCAGGCCAGAAGAGGGCACCAGACCTCATTACAGATGGTTGTGAGCCACCATGTGGTTGCTGGGAATTGAACTCAGGACCTTTGGAAGAGCAGGCAATGCTCTTAACCACTGAGCCATCTCTCCAGCCCCTTGTTTTTGTTTTTTAATGTGTCCAAGTGTTCTGCCTGCAGACATATACATGCAACATTTGCACTTCTGGTGCCCGTAGAAGCCGTGAGAGGGTGGTAGAGCCTGTGGAACTAGTTACAGATGGTTGTGAGATACGATGTGGGTGCTGGAAACTGAATCAGGTTCCTCTGGAAGGGCAGCCAGTGCTCTTAGCCACTGCACCATCTCTCCAGCCCCCTCTAAGCCTCAGTTGGAGCATACAGCACCACTGGAGCCCAATATTACCTTTCAGTGTGGAGCATGTTGCAGTGAAAAGGGGTCAGGCTTTGGAGACAGGATTGGGACCTGGACTGGATGTTTCAGAAGCCAGTGTCCACCGTGCAGCATCACTGGACATGTTAAAGGGCCCATTTTAGGGATAGAGTCTGACTGGAGAAAATGGGGCACATCTCTACCTATACTAGGGAGGCGGAGGCAGGAGGATTAGCACAAATTCTATGCCAGTCTAGACTATAGAGTTGAGAACCTGTCAAAAAAATAATAATAAAAAAGAATAAAGTCTAGATGTCTGAGACAGCCATAACCATTGCTGTAATGTTTTAAATGCTCCTTTCAGAATATTCTCATCGATGCCTGCGTCCTAGACTCGGATTCAGGGCTCCTCCAACAGGTATGTTTCCAGGGGGTGTTTCTGGTTGTTTGTCTTGAGACAGGGCCTCGCTGTAGCTGTAGCTGGATCTGGAACTCTCAGAGGTCTACCTGCTTCTGCCTCCTGAGTGTGGGGATTGAAAAGTTTGTGACACCATGCCTCCCCCACTGTTCAGTTTTCTAGGAAATAATTTAGTTTTCGAGGAAAATGTAATTTCTGTACGTTGCATTATATATGTCTTGGGAATTACTGTTAGATGTTGTAGTCGTGCTTTCTTGTCGGACCCACTAGCCTGCAAATAATGACATGGGGACATTAATTATAAAAGCTCGACCTTAGCATAGGCTTGTTCCCAACTAGCTCTTAAAACTTAATATATTGGCTCCAAAGCTACAGAGAAACCCTGTCTCGAAAAAAAAAAAAAAAAAAAAAACAATATATTAATCTACATTCTGCCCTGTTCCTCACCTCCATACTTCCCATCCTGCTTCCTCTCATCTGGCTGGCACCTCTGCCTTTCTTCCCAGAGCTCACTCTCTGCCCAGATCCTGCCTATACTCTCCTGTCCAGCTATTAGCTGTTCAGCTTTTTATTGCACCGATCACAGCAATATGTCTTCACACAGTGTACAGATATCCCACTACAAGGTGTTGCTTTGGGGTTGTGGGGGGGTGCGGGGGTGGTAAGATCTTACTCTAGCCCAGGCTGGGGTCACATTCATGGCAGTTCACCTGCTTTAGATGCTGCTCTTTGAGCAGAAGTTTGAAACTAAATCTTTTGATTTTACCAGAATGGCGAGGGTGTAAAGGTCACACACCTGAATAATCAGCAAGCCATGGGTGACTGCCTTTTGCGCACAAGAAGTATTTCTGGGCCCATGAGATTGCTCAGTGGCTAAAGGTGCCTGTGCCCAAAGCTGATGACTTGACCCCAGATGCTGGAAGGAGAGCGCCGCTCCCTCAAGTTCTCCCTCTGTGCCATGGCTTGCATATGCGTGCACACACAAATAATAAACGTAAAGACAATTGCTAATATCCCTTCCCTTCCCTTTAACATTTCCTTAAAGAGTTAGATCCTTGAAGATCAGTCATCAGTGAAAAGGGCTGGTGCTGGGCTGAGGGGAGGGAGCATGCGCGCGTCCGAGAGAGCTGCACTTGTCAGTTCTTGGGCTCAACTTGACAGTAGGCATGTGGTATTTTTTGTTTGTTTATTTTGTTTTTTTTTTTTTTTTGTTTTTTGAGACAGGGTTTCTCTGTGTAGTCCTGGCTGTCCTGGAACTCGCTCTGTAGACCAGGCTGGCCTCAAACTCACAGAAATTCTCCTTCCTCTGCCTCCCAGGTACTGGGATTAAAGGCTTGAGCCGCCACCACCACCTAGCCTGTTTTTTTGTTTTTTTAATGCATAAATGCATTTTAAGGAATTGTTTAGAGATACCTAAGAATTCATTACATTTTATTTAAAATATAGTATCCCTCCCCGTGAGGATGAGACACAGTGTAGGAGTTAGTCCTGGGTGTGGGCGCCATATGACATAAGTGCTTGCTTGTGTCTGTCATGTTCAGATGAGGGTGACTGCTGCCTCCCTCAGCTCCTCAGCCACCCTGGCTTTCTGTATCTGCACTGTTGCAGTTCCCATTGCCTTACGTATTAGGCTTTCAAGGTGACTTGATTTGCAGCTCTCAAAGGGTCGTTAACTCGGAGATAACTCTGGCTGAAAGCTGGCTCTGGCCCTGTCCTTCACCAGGATGCCTCGAGTACACATGCCATTGGCTCCTGGACCTCAAGTCACGGGCGAACAGAGCTCTGGCTTTTCTGCGCAGTGGCTTCTCCCAAACTCTGAGCCCTGTCTCTGAGCAGAGCATGGTTCACAGGGCAGCCACCCTGCTTTCCCTCTTTCTCTTCCTCCCTTTCCATACTGCTGTGATCTGGATGAATCTGTCCTCAGCACAGATGCTGAATCCCACTCCTGTCTCCTTTCCTAACCATCCCTTCTGTGGGGCTTGCAGACATCTGGGCTCTCTTAGCACTCAGTCTGTCATCTTGGGAGTCAGAAAGAAGCTGATGGCATAAGACAGGCCATGTTACTCCCTTGCTTAACTGCCCCCACCCCATCCCTAGCATCCCAGCACACTTTGGCTAATACCCAAGTCCTTGCCTTGGCCTTCTGTTCACTCCACATCGTCTCTTTTCCTGTGGACCCAAGGGTGGTGTTGCCTGAAACCATAGTTAACCTGGGCTGTTGTGGCCTAGTGCCTTGGCACTTGTCCCCTGCTACCTAGGCTTGGCCCTTGCCTTCCCTCAGCTTTCCTTCCCCATCACCCACTTGATTGTCATGGAAATTAAAATCTATGACATCAGTTTTGTGCCCAGCAGCCCGATGTGCTCTTCTCCCTCCTCCCCCTTAAATCTATCAAGGAAATTTTAAAGCAAAGCATTGGGAAGCTCAGGATGCGCTGAATGGCACAGAGGGCAGAGAGTGATGCTGCCAGGGGCTGTCCTGTGTGTTGGCAGTGCTAGGAGCTCACCTGAGGAAGAGACACAGTAGCCTGGGAGTCTGGAGCAGAGCTGAGTGATCGTGTCTGTAGTGTGGGCAGTGGTGAATACATGAACCTCACACCAGCTGACCTTAGAGACCTGTGGAGTCCTCATGAACCCCACTCCCCTGGGAATGCCGAGGTTCTGCATTGTTCATGGCCCCTCTGTCTTGCAGGCTTGTGACATCACAGGGGGATTGTACCTGAAAGTGCCCCAGATGCCTTCCCTCCTGCAGTACTTACTGGTGAGTTATTGGAGCTCACCCTCTCTAGCATCCCAGGGTAGGAATTGCTGGGAGAGAGTGGCTTCAGAGTTCCCAGGCTGAGAAGGGTGCGCTTCCAGGTCTTTGAACTCTGGAAGTTTTTGCAGATGTCACATGATTATATAGCAGAGTGTTTAGTAAGTGGCGTGGGGCTGACGGCATGGCTCAGTGAGTAAGGGTGCTTGCCGCCAAGTCTGATGGCCTGAGCTCAATCTCAGGATCCGTACGGGGGAAGGAGAGAATCACCTCCTACCAGTTGTCTTCTGCCTGCCATGTGTATGTGCTCACACACATACAAGTGCACAAATTAAATGAAAGATTAAAAAAAAATTGTGGGATGAATAACAATGAATCTTAATAGGTGTTAAAGGAAATTAGTATTTTGTGTATGTTACATCCCCTGAGTGCATGTGGAGGGCAGAAGCCAAGTGGCAGGAGCAGTTCTCTCCTTCCAGGTGTGGGTTCCAGGAGTGGAACTCAGCTCATCCAGGCTTGCTGGCATGTACCTTTCCTTACTGAGCCATCTAACCAGCCCCAGAGGACAGGCTCGAGTTAGTATTCTCCTAGTGCTGATTGGCTAAGATCTGCTCTTGCGTGTGACTACTGGCTGAGCTCTGCTGTCTGTGTGGTGACTGGTTAAGCTGTTGTCTGTATGATTGGCTAACGCTGCTGCTTGTCTGTGTGTGATGATTGGCTAAACTCTGTCGTCTGTGTCTGGACTGTTGCTGTGTTAAAAGTTCCTTGTATATTTTTTCTGTTTTTTGTTTGTTTGTTTTTTTTAAACAGTGGGTTTTTCTTCCGGATCAAGATCAGCGATCTCAGCTAATCCTCCCGCCTCCGATCCACGTGGACTACAGGGCTGCCTGCTTCTGTCACCGAAGTCTCATTGAGATTGGCTATGTCTGCTCCGTGTGTCTGTCCAGTAAGCTCATGCGTAGTTTTTCTTCCTGTCTGTGTTGGGGGAGGGGGTGGCACAGAAAGTAATCTGGTTTTCACATCCTTATTTCCTTGTTTTTTTTTTTTTTTAATTTTTGAACAGTTTTCTGCAATTTCAGCCCCATCTGCACCACATGCGAGTGAGTATCTTCACAGGTGCTGATGGGAGTGGGTTCCCAAGGACTCCCGAGCCCTGAAATGTTCTTCTCTCTATCGTTCCAGGACAGCCTTTAAGATCTCCCTCCCTCCTGTACTGAAGGCTAAGAAAAAGAAACAGAAGGTGGCCCTGTGATGAGCAATGTGCACGCGTTTCCCCATCCTGCTGCAGCCTGCTCTCCCTGGAGGGCGCTGCTCTCAGCCCGTGCTTGTAGGGTGGAGCTGACGTGCACCCCAAGCCTCCCATGTTCCATGGAAAGGGGACAAGCACAGGGTTAACGCTTTCTGTCTGTTGCTTAGCAGAAGCCAGCTGGGCCTGCTTCATCTGTTGTTGCTCTCTTCCTTGGGGCTGGGTGTTGAATCCCCACCTTGCAGGTCCTCGGCCAGCACCCCACTGCTTCGCTGCAGCCACCTGGGATTTTGTTCTTTTTTTTTTTTTTAAATGTTTCTTTTTTTTTTAACTTTATATTATGTATGAGTAAACTTAATTTTATGTATGAATACTCCGCATATACACCTGCGTGTCAGAAGAGGACATCAGATCCCATTGTAGATGGTCATGAGCCACCATGTGGGTCCTGGGAATTGAACTCAGGACCTCTGGAAGAGCAGCCAGTGCTCTTAACCGCTGAACCATCTCTCCAGCCCCTGGGATTTTGTTCTTAGATTTGTCCTCCGTCACAGCTTATCATCTACATTCTGGGCTTTCTGTACTAAAAGATGGGCAGTGAGTGAAGTAGGAATGCCACTCGGGAAGGTGAACAGCATTGGGTCATCATCAGTCATGACAAAGCATCTTAGTTGGACTGGTGTGCACATGCCTGGAATCCTGGGTCGGGAAGGTTTGGGGTTCAGATCCTGCCTGTCTTTTAAGAAAATGAACATTTTATAGCAAATAAGTTGTTTCCTTTAACTATATTTAAATGTAACCTGACCTAAAGGCATAAGCCTTCAATCCCAGCACTCAGGGTGCAGAGATTGAGGCTAGCCTGGTCTACGCAGTGAGTTGAAACCAGTCAGGGCTGCATCTTGCCACTTCATTTACAAAAACAAACCAAACCAAACCAGTAGTCAGTGTAGGAGACCTGCTGACTCGAGGCTCCCTGCAGCTGTTAGCTGTTCTGTATTTGTCTGGTATGCCAGCATATTTGCACGGAGTTAACCAAGATTATTAGTAGAGGTTTTCAACAAAAATGTATAAAATCTGAATTTAAATATACAAAAGGAGCAATCGCAGGGGCTGTGGTAAAGGTTGTCAGAGACACACATGAGGGAAGAGTTTGTCGGCTGGTGTCAGAGCCACCTCATGGGGAAAAGGAGCTATCTAGAGGTATAACCCTGTCATTTTCTAATAGAATAACATTAATGTTGGAGAACTGTTGAATACTAAAATGTAAATGAGTTTAATCAAAACACTTGTAATTTCAACAATAAAAATTCTATTTTTATATTTACTAATTTTCTTAAAGTATTTTTCTAGATATTTTCATTAAGTAGTTTTTTTGAGACAGTTTTTCTGCATAATAGCCCTGGCTGTGTTGGAACTCACTTTGTAGAACAGACTCACAGAGATCCTCCTAAGTGTTGGATTAAAGGCGTGCGCCACCACCACTCAGCTTGCATTGAGCAGTTTTTGTTTTTAATTACTAAAAGCTTTCTTAAGAACACTGACCTTCCAGAGGACCCGGGTCCAGTTCCCAGCACTCAGGAAGCAGCTCACAACTATTTGTTGCTCCAGTTCCAGGGCATCAAGTGCCCTCTCCTGGCATCCACATGCACCAGGCACAAACATGGTGCACAGACGTACGTGCATGCATGTGTAAACAACCGTACACAAAGAATAAAAATCTTAAACCCAAACAACAACACAAATCAGCAGGCTGGCATGATAGCTCAGCAGGTACTGTGACCCGAGTCATCTTCAGGGCCACGTTGGGGGGAGGACAGAACTGACCCCTGAGTTGTCTCCATTCAGGTCCATTTGGGACTGAGGCATAGACTTGGAGCTGGTGTCTGGAGGGCCTACATATAAAGGTGGCAGGGGCAAGTGCAGGTGCCACTTCTTCCAGCTGTTGCTGTGTGGGCCGCTGCCGATCACAGACCTCCGCCTGAGGTGACAGAAGTAGCTGTCTTTGAAAGGGGAGGACCATGTTACTCCACTGATTGTAGGTGTGTGCCACCACTGCCCAGCTTGAACTATCCTTCACCAGTGGAGGGTTTTCCATGACACTGGCTGCCTGCTTTTGAGGCAGTGAACCGTTTTTGGCTGGGATTGAAGGAAACACAGAACACGGCCTGGGTCAAACGAAGAAATATACAGATTTTGAATATGGTAACTAGGCAAGAGGCACTTTGGACTAATTCTAAGGTTCTCTGGCTTTGCTCATAGTGCATTTGGTGTTACCATAGAGAAAACACGAGATGCAGTTGATGACCTTACACAGGAGTCTGCGGGACCATGACTGGGATGCTGTGTAAATGTACAGTAGTCTTCCAGGAATGGCAAGCGGTAGCCTGGCAGAACTAGCGTAAGCCTGGCAAACTAGTCTTTAGGGTTCTTAAAAGTTACAGACCTGGGACCTAGATACCCCTCTACTCCTCTACCCATGTTCTGATACTAATATGTTTTACTTCATGTGTATGATTGGTTGCCAGGAAGTATGTGTATTTGCACCATGTGCAAGTAGTGACTAAGGACGCAAGAGCCTTAGGGCATCATCCCCGGGAAGTGTTAGTAACAGGAAGTTGTGAGTTACCACGTGGGTGCTGGGAACCGAATTGTGATCCTCTGCAAGAGCAGCAAGTGCCCTGAACCTCTGAGTCATCTCGCCAGACCCTCAGTGTGGTTTCTTGAAGTCTGGGATGGAAAGAACCCACGATATCCATTGAAAGTAGGGAACTGGAAAAGCAAACAAGGTCTGGTGGGCAGGGCGAGGATCGGGGAGCAGGCGCTCTTGCACTGGACCAATCATGGAACGCTGCTGCCCGATTGGTGGTTGCCATGGCTACTGATACTTTCGCTAGACACGTAAAGCAGACTCTCTTGACCTAGACCAATCACGACATGCCCATCACCGATTGGTGGTTGCCATGGCTGCGGGCTCTCAGTTTGGCAATATGGCGTCGGCCGGGCGGCTAAAATGGCCGCTTTTTCTCCTCTGGAATATTGCGGGCTTGTGAATCAGACGCGTCCTCGGGATGGGCTCTCTGTCGCTACTCGGCCTCCTGTGGGGATTTCTCCTGCTGCAGGACGTCCTGAAACCGCTGCGTGGGGACCCGGGTGTGTATGGCGTGATATGGCCTGCATGGCCCAGACTAAGGGAACCTGGAGCTCCTAGGATCCTGGAAACCAGGACCACGTAAAAAGCCAGCACACGCACCCCAGGCACAGGTTCTGCACTAGCTAACCCCCGCCCCGCACCCTTCCTTCTCTCCTAGTTTTTATCCCATCTTTCATACGAATGTCCAGCCCTGAGGTCAGCGCGTCCCTGGTCGGAGGCAGTGAGGATGTCACCGTCTCTCTGATTCCGCTGCGGGTCGAGAAAGGTAAGAGTCTGGCTTTTCTTAGAAGCGTGGGTTCTGTCCTCAGCAGAGTAGGGGTGGGGAAGAAAGGCAGTATCTTTGTGTTGTAGAACAAAGAGGTCCTGTGGACAGGTTCTGGAAATGGGACCTTGAAATAAAAGTGGCCAACAAGCCGGGCATGGCAGCACACGTTTTTAATCCAGCACTGAGGAGCCAGAGGCAGGTAGATCTGTGAGTTCCAAGCCAGCCCAGTCTGCATAGTTTTTTTTGTTTTTGTTTTTGCTTTTGTTTTCCAAAGAAAAAATTGACCAGTATTTATTGAGATAGCCCCCTGAGTTTTCCACACAGCATCTCAGGGTTCTCCTAAGAGCAGTAGGGCCACCAGGCAGTGGTGGCGCATGCCTTTAATCCCACCACTCGGGAGGCAGAAGCAGGCGCATCTCTGTGAGTTCGAGGCCAGCCAGAGCTGTTACACAGAGAAACCCTGTTTTGAAACAACAACAACACAAAAAGAATGTTAGCATCTCTTTATCCCATTGGCAAATGAGGAGACATACTGCTTGGCCAGTCTGTTTAGTGTGTGTGTGTAGATTCCCACCCAGGGAGTCTTGACCCCTTAGCTGCTGGACCCTGATGCCTTGCGTTCTAATTTTCCCCTTAGGAGTGTTGCCAGTTCCTACTTGTGGTGGTCTCAGCAATGAGACAGGAGATTGGAATGTGACTGTGAGCCCCGGTGTGGTAAGACCTGAGACAAAAGCTCTATTGCATCTGTAGAGGCCTCTTGTGTAGGCTTTGTGCAGGTGTACATGTGTGTGTGTGTGCGTGTGTGTAGCTGGGGATCAAACTAAGGTCCTGTCAGCTCCCAGATGTTCTTGTGATCTGACATTCCACGTTCCATGTAAGTGGAATTTTCTTCAGGCCACCAACCAACTCCCAGCTAAAGGCATGGAGACTTATTGATGATATGAATGCTCAGCCTCAGCTTACACTTCTCCCACTGGCTCGTAGGCATCTACATTCTGCCTCAGGGCTTTTTACCTTTCTTTCATTCTGTATGTCCTACTATGTCCTACTTTTCTGCTTCCTCTGTGTCTGCCTGGCCTCTCTTTCTCCCCATCCCCAGCCTGAATTTCTTCTGCTTACTCTCCCTGCTCAGAAGTCCTGTCTATGCCTCCTCTCTCGCTATTGGCTGTTCAACTTTTTATTAGATCAGTCGGATGCCTTAGGCAGGCAAGGTAAAACAGCAACACATCAACACATCTGTATGTGGTTAAACAAATATTCCTCAACATGAATAAATGCAGCACGTGTTTGCACAGTTAAACATCCCGCAACAGTTCTATATTCAATATTTTCTGGAATTGTGGGCTATCAATGTAGATCCCCTATCTAGCATGAAGTTCTTACCTTAGCGTTAATGGTGTGTTTGGATGTGTTACAGGTAGAGCATTCAGACATATAAGACGGCCTGCTTTACATAGTGAGACCTTATCTAAAAGAGAAAAACAAGCTAGGTAGTGATGGTGCACGCCTTTAATCCCAGCTCTTGGGAGGCAGAGATCTCTGTGAGTTTGAGGCCAGCCCGGTCTAGAGAGTGAGTTTCCAGACAGATACCAAAGATACAGAGGAAACCCTGTCTCGAAAAACCAAAACAACAACAACAAAAAAGATCAAAACAAGGTAAAAAGCATGAAACTTATTTATTTATCATTTATTTATTTATTTGAGACGGGGTTCTCTGTGTAGTTTTGGAGCCTGTCTTGAAACTAGCTTTGTAGACCAGGCTGGCTTTGAACTCACAGAGATTCACTTGCCTCTGTCTCTGAAGGGCTGGGATTAAAGGTGTGTCCCACCACCACCTGTCTAGGCACTAATTTTTTTTAGACTTATGAGATGAGGATCTCCTACTGAATTTTACCAAAGTTTACCAAGTGCTTAGTGGACTTAGTGTGGATGCGAGAGATACACAAGTGAGAAAGACTGCTTTAGGGATGGACACTTAGCAGTTCAGGGCCACCCTGAGAGAAGCGGAGCTGTTCCCCATCTTCTGCCTCAAAAGTCTTCTCGGCGAACTGGCTCCAAATACTGGACCTGTGTCAACCTTTCTCTAAGTGTCCAGAAGTTGTTTGCTTTTATGTTTAAGATGAGGACAAGGGGGAGGGGAGCCAGAGAGATGCTTCAGTGGTTTCTCATGTTCTTGCAGAGGACCCAGGGCTGGTTCACAGACATCCACACTGGCAGAACACCCGTGCACATAATACAAAACATATATATTTAGTTTTATATTAAAACACACACATATGTATGTGTATATATACATACACACAGACACACACGGTCTTAGGGTTTTTATTGCTGTGAAGAAACACCGTGACCACGGCAACTTTTATAAAGGAAACATTTAATTGGGTGGCTTACAGTTCAGAGGTTTTGTCTATTATCATCATGGTGGGTCATGGTCGTAAGCAGATAGACATGGTGCTGGAGAAGGAGCTGAGAGGTCTACATCTTGATCCAAAGGGAACAGGAAGTGGATTGGTACATGGGGCATGGCTTGAGGATATGAGACATCAAAGCCTAACTCCACAGTGGCACACTTTCTCCAACAAGGCTACACCTCCTAACAGTGCCCCTCCCTATGAGCCTGTGAGGACCAATTACATTCAAGCTACCACATATGTATATGTATGTGTATGAATAAGATTAGGAAACGGGGATGGATATGGTCGGACACAGCTTTAGTCCCAGCACTTGGGAAACAGAGTCAGGTGGATCTCTGTGAGTTTGAGGTTGGCTTGGTTTACATGGCAAGTTTAATACCAGCAGAAGTACACAGTGAGATCCTGACTTAGAAAAAGAAAATTTGGACGTGGAGTTGTGTAGATGGCTCAGTGGTTCAGAGTTTGTTGAAATAGGAAGCGGCGGCGGGACTGCGTCCCCAACACCCCGGCCGCTTGGCTAGCTCACGCCCGAAATAACAACACACAAACTGTGTTCATTTAAGAACTTTGGCCCATGAACTCTAGCCCTTACAGGCTAATTCTCGCACCTGGACTAGCCCATTTCTAATGATGTGTGTAAGCACCCCAAGGTGCGCTTACCGGGAAGATTCTAGCCTCCGTCCATGGTGTCTCTGCTCCAGAGAGCAGAGTTGTTGAGTCTCTCCGGGAGCAGAGCAGAGTCTGACCTCACTTCCTCTTCCGCCCAGCATCCTATTCTGTTTTCTCCTCCCATCTATGCTTTAACTTATGAGGGCCAGCCAAGCAGTTTCTTTATTGCTCAGCCAATGAAATCAACAGATTGATATGACACTCCCACATCAAGAGTTCTTCCCAAAGAAAGAACCAGAGGCCAGTTCTTAGTGCCCACACCAGGTGGCCAAGAAGCACTAGCTCCAGGACATCCCACATTCTTTTTTTAAAATAATAATTTATTTTTATTTTATTTTATTTACATTGCTGTTTTGGGAGGGTGTCAGATCCCCTGGAACTGAAATTACAGACAGTTGTGAGCTGCCATTGGGTGCTGGGAAATGAACCTGGGTCCTCTAGAAGAGCAGCGAGTGGTCTTACCCTCTGAGCCATCTCTCCAGCCCTAAGCATCCAGCATTCTTTTTGGGCCTCTGTTGATACCTACACACACACACACACACACACACACACACACACACACACACACACAGCATATACACATATAAACACGCACATAAGTAAAAAGGAAAAATTTAAAAAATCAGGAATTAGTCAGGGAATATGGTTCGGCTGGTAGAGTGCTTGTCTAGCATGTGTGAAGCCCTCAGTTCAGTCCCAGCAACAGTCATGTGCATGTATGTATACACACACTGAATAACGAAGGTAATCATGAGGAGGTTCGGAGCTTGGGTACCACAGGAAGTGAAGAGAAGGCTGCTGCCACCAGTTCTCCTTCTGTCTTGGTAAAACGATGCAAGGCTCACGTGTGAGTTTACAATGTTTTCTGTTTCATGTTCTCATCACTAGAGATGCTCACTGTGAGACTCTTTAAAGGCACAGCCATGTTTTCCTTCTAGAACGCACTGGAAGTGACGGTCCAGTGGAAGAGGGGCCTGGACTGGTGCTCAAACGAGACTGCCTCATTCTCGGAGCTCCCGTGCCTCGTGCAGACACTGCTGGTTTCGGCATCTCACAATGCATCCTGTTTAGCACATCTGCTCATTCAGGTGGAGATTTATCCTAATGCATCTGTGACCCACAATGCATCAGGCAAGTGATGTCTGTGGACAGATACTAGACGTGGCTCTATGTTGTTATTTTGTGGTTGTTTTTGTTTGTTTGTTTTGAGACAGGATCTCATTATGTAGCTCAAGTTGGTCTAGAACTCACTATGTAGAACAAGTTGTCCTTGAATCACAGAAATCTGCCTGCCCCTGCCTCTTGAGTTAAGTTTTGTTTTTAAATTTGTATGTATGTATGTATGTGTGTGTGTGTGTGTGTATGTATGTATGTGTATGTGTGTTTGGGTGAATATGTGTGCCATGTATGTGCAGTACCCTGAAGAGACCAGAAGAGGGCATCAGATCTCAAGTACCTGAAATTCCATGCAGAACCTCGGTCCTCTGCAAGAATAGTAGATTCTCTTAATAACCACTGAGCCATTTCTCCACTCATGGAGACTCAACTTTTGAAGGTTAGCCTCTACTTCAAACCATCCTGCCTTGACTGAGGGCTACGATCATGGGTGGCACTACCATGCCCTAATTTCAACTGGTATTTTGAGACAGAGACTCACATAAGCCCAGGATGAGCTGGAGTTCACTGTGTACCTGAGGCTAGCCTGAATCCTGACCCTCCTGCCTTTGCCTCCCAAGTGCTGGGATGACAGGCATGAGCCACACACTCAGCTCAAACACTTATTAAAGGAAGAAAGGAATCTTTCTGAAGAAAGCAGTGGTTTTAGTTTTAGAGGTTTTTGTTGTTGTTTTTTAATGCTTAAAATTCAGAACAAACCAAGAAGATATTCAGTGCGTCCTCAGAAAATCTGGAGAAAACCCGTGAAGAGGAAGTACTGTGGGAGGCCCTCGTGGTAGCCACGATTCAGAGGCTTGCTTGACAGTGTTTCCTCCGTGGGCTGCAGATGCTCAGTGACCAAGAGCGTGTTGCGCTTCCAGAGGACCCGGATGCAGGTCTTAGTCCCCCATCTGGAGCACATGCTGCTCTTCCAGAGGACCCGGATGCAGGTCCTAGTCCCCGATCACAGATGTGGGACTGCAGCTTCGGAGGTTCCCACAGTCTCCCTGGAACCTGTACTCATGTACACCCTCCCCACCATAATTCAAAAAACATTTTTTTTTTTTGAGACAGGGTTTCTTTGTGTAGCCCTGACTGTCCTAGAACACCCTGTGTTGACCAGGATGGCCCTGAACTCACAGCGATCCACCTGACTCTGCCTCCTGAGTGCTGGGATTAAAGATCTCTACCACCACTCAGCCAAAATAAATCTTTGAAGTATTTTCCATACTAGGTTTTCATGTCCACCCAGCCTAGCCAGTTCAGAGAGTTCCAGGTTCAGTGAGAGACCCTGTTTTAATAAGGTGGGTGCTGGAGAGATGGCTCAGCAGTTAAGAGCACTGGCTGATCTTCCAGAGGATCTGAGTTTAATTCCCAGCAATCATAAGGTGGCTCACAACCATCTGTGATGAGATCTGGTGCCCTCTTCTGGCCTGCAGGCATACACGCAGACAGAACACTGTATACTAATTAATAAATAAATCTTTAAAATAATAATAATTAAAAAGAAACATAAGGTAGAATGCTTGGCATGATGGTGCGACCTGTAATCCTAGTTCTTTGGAGGCAGAGGCTAGTGAATCTCTGTGAGTTCATGGACAGCCAGGCCTATATAATGAGAGCCAACCAAAACCAAATAAGGTGAAGAGAAAACACCTGACATGAGTCTCTGCTTCCACACACATGCACATGTGCATACACACACGCACATGCATGTACACACACATGCATGCACGCACACCCTTACACATTGTGATTCAGCCTTTTTGTGAATCTCAAGAACTGTCCATGCTTTGTTTCCTAGCTGAACCTTTTCTTTTCTGCCATATGTACTTTTCAGATAACATGACCGTCATTCCTAACCAAGTCTATCAGCCTCTGGGTCCCTGCCCTTGTGACTTGACAGCCAAGGCCTGTGACATTCGCTGCTGCTGTGACCAAGTGAGTTCTTTCTGTTTGCCTGGCTACCTGAGGGCATTTGGGACAACAGTCGCCCCTAGCAGCTTTGGATAGGTGACAACAGAGATTATATTTCATTTTACAAATCATTGTTTTTTTTATTTCTAAAGATTTATTTATTTTTATGTGCATTGGTGTTTTGCCTGTGTTTATGTCTGTGTGAGGGTGTCAGGTCCCCTGGAACTGGGGTTACAGACACTTGTGAGCTGCCATGTGGCTGCTGGGAATTGAACATGGTTCCTCTGGAAGAGCAAACAGCGCTCTCAACCCCTGAGCCATCTCTCTAACCCTGTTTTTTGTTTTTGTTGGTGGTGGTGTGTTTGTTTGCTTGTTTGTTTTTTCAGATAGGGTCCTGTGCAGCCCAAGCTGGCAGAGGGAGTAGCCTTGAGCTCTTGATCCTCCTGCCTCTATCTCCAACCAGAAAACTGTGTTTGAACTGAGTATCTTCTCTTCTAGTATTGTTTGTGCAGTTTGTGGAGGAAAGAGAAAGGAATGTGTCTTTGGATAAAGTCACATTTGCAGAAGCTATAGCTAGAGGATGATTTTACTACATTTGTTTTTGGCATATGGTGTGGTGTGCTGTGTTTGTGGGCATTATAGAGGCTTGTCCCACAGTGCACATGCGAAGGTCAGGGAGCAACTTGAGGTTCCAGAATCAAGCCCAAGTTGTCACCTTTGGCAGTAAGCAGCTTTGCATGCTGAGTCATATGGCAAACACACACACCCTCCTGTTGTGTGTGTGTGTGTGTGTGTGTATATGTGTGACAATGTCTCACTGTGTAGCCTCAGATTCTTAAGACAGTCCACCTTCCTCAGCTTCCCTGAGTGCCAAGATTGTTGTCTTTCTCTCTCTCTCTTTATCTCTTTTTCTATCACCTGCCTCCTCTGAGTGCTGGAATTAAAGGTGTGCACCACCACCTTCCAGCTCTACACCTGCCTGGTTTCTAATACATATCGTAAAATGTTAAATTTAAGAGAAATGAGAAGAATGTTTGCTAGTACCTATAGTGTCCCAATTTTGCACAAATATAAATGCATGGTTTTTTTTTGTTTTTGTTTTTGTTTTTGTTTTTGTTTTTTTTGCTTCTCCCCTTGGGAAACAGTATTTTGGTGTTTTTGTTCATTTGCTTTGAGTCTCACTATGTAATGTTGGTTAGTCTGTAACTAGCTCTGTAGTCCGGGCTGGCCTCGAACTCATAGTTATCCCCCTGTCCCTGCCTCCCAAGTGCTGGGATTAAAGGCGTGCACCACCACTGCCCGGCACTTGGTTGTTTTGCGGCACTTGGTTGTTTTGCGGTAGGGTGTCTTGTTGCTGCGGATAACCTTCACTCCTGATTCTCTTCTGCTTCCACCTTCCAAGTACTAAAATGACAGATGTTTGATACCATGCCAAGTAAAACAACCTTTCACCCGTCCCCAGCGATATGTAATGTCACCCCCCCACCCCCCAGATATGTGATATCTAATTTTGATCTTTTGAGAGGTAAACACACACCAGGGAACACATTGCCATAGTGCTGGGGAGGTGGAGGCAGGAGGGTCAGGAGCTACAGTTTACCAGCAGCAACTTCAGATTATAGGGCAGCCTGGGGTACACGAGACCCTCAAACAACAGAAATGGCTGTCAGAAAAACCTGTCCGCAGTGTCTTTGTGTTAGAGTGACATGCACCGTGTGTCACTATGGTCCACCGCCATCGGTGTATTTACATAATCAGGTGGCAGGCGACACATGGCACTGTCAGGCTGTACCCAGCCTGTCACTAACAGTGATGTGACCTTCACTCCCTGCCCTGGGAGCTGGTTGTATTGTATATTCTATTAGCCGCTACTGTTAGGATTTACCACTCTACTAGCAAGTGTGGTACCACACTCCAGTGAGCCTTGCTCCGGGGAGGTTAAACCTGAGGATCGTCATGAACGTGAAGCTGGCCTGGTCTACATAGTGAGGCTCTCTCATGACAGAAGAGCAGGGCCAAATATGGTGGTGCACATGTATGCACAGGCATGCATGTAGGCAAAACACCCCCACACATAAAATGAGCATTACTTTAAAAAAAATTCCCGGTCTGCATAGTTAGTCCTAGTCAGGGCTTCTCAGTGAGACCCTGCCTCTAAATAACTAAGAAACCAAAAGGCAATAGTGGGCAGAACATGGTGGCTCATGCTTAACCCCAGCACACGGGAGGCAGAGGCAGGGGGATCTCGATGTGACTGTGAGGCTAGCTTGGTCTACCTAGTGAGTTCCAGCCAGAGAGCCCTTGTCTCAGATACAGTAGACATATACACCAAATGTATTTGTGTCAATGATGTCTTCAGATGGCCTCAACTTATATTTTATGCACGATGTTAATTTTGAGTTTGAGGTACTGGGATTGAATGTAGGCCTCACACATCCGAGGATCCCACTGGGTAATGCACCCAGCTCCTCTCTGTTCCTTTTTAAAATTTGAGACAGAGTCTGGCTAAGTTGCCAAGGCTGGTCTTGAGCTTTTGATCCTCCTTCCTCAGATTCATGAGTAGCTAAGATTATATACCTGGCTCTTATTCTTTTTTGGTGTGGGTGTGGTTTTTTGAGAAAGGGTTTCTCTGTAATAGCTGTGGCTGTCCTGGAGCTTGCTCTGTAGACCAAGCCAGTCTCCAGCTCAGAGTTCTACCTGCCTCTGCCTCTCAAATTCCCGTATTAAAGACGTATGCCACTACCACTCGGCTTGAGGCTTATTCCTTTGAAGGCTGGAAGTTTCTGCCTGGGACTTCACTAGGGAGTTGACTAAGGAACTGTGTGTGTGTGTTGTTGCTCATGAATGCACACATTTGTAGAAGCCCAAGGACAACCTTGGATGCTATGCCTTAGGACCGTGCATCCTTCTTTCTTTGGAGACAGGACTCCTCACTGAACCTGCAGCTGGCAGAGTAGGCTAGGCTGGCTGTCTAGTGAGCTCCAGGGATCCCCCTCTTTCTGTCTCCCCAGGACTGGAATTATAATCATGGGCCTCCACACCTGGCCTTTCTATGGAGGTCCTTGAAGTTGAGCTCAGGTCCTCGTGCTTGTGTGGCAAGCATTTTTACTGACCATACCTCCTCCACATCCCTAAGGAGCTCTTCTTGCACCGCACAGCACTTTGGGAGGAGATGGAGATGTATTGCTTTCTCAGCTACGGGGTTGCAGGCTGGTAGCACCAGAGGGCATGCCGTCATGCTTGCTGCAAGCTGTGCCTGGTGTCACAGTGGGAGTGCATGCGCCCTCACTGCCCTTTCGCCTGTTTCCAAGGACTGCCAGCGGGAAGTAAAGGAGCTGTTCCAGCAGTCCTGCTTCTCCGGTGTGTTCGGAGGGGACATCAACCCTCCCTTGGACCAGCGCTGTGCTGTGGGCACCACTCACGAGACCCCGGACTGGTTTCCTTTCCTGTGTGTGCAGTCACCCCCCTCCAGCTCGCCTTTCCTCGGTTACTTCTATCATGGTGCCATGTGAGTAGCTGCTGCCTGGAGGAGCCTGTTTCTAGCGCCACCAGGTTTCCTCCACATGGCTTGGGTCACATTTCTTCTCAGTACTTTAAAAAAGTCATACTGGTTTGCAGTTAGTGAGGCCATTTCTCCCAGAGTGTTAAAAAGAACTGAGAACCCAGCAGATGCAGCCAGCAGTCAGCAGTGACTTTCCATCATGGAGGAAGGGTGCCAAGGGCCCAAAGGGACTTGAACTTTCTGTGTTTTATACTTCAATATCGTGTTGAAATTGTTGTTGCTGTTGTTGTTTGGAGACAGGGTTTCTCAGTGTAGTCCTGACTGTCCTGGAACTCACTCTGTAGACCAGGCTGGCCTTGAGTTCAGAGATCCTCCTGCCTCTGCCTCTTGAGTGCTGGGATTAAAGGCGTGTCTTGCTGTTGTCATTGTTACCCCCCCCCAAGAATTTATGACTATGATCTTTGTAAATAAAAAAAAAAAATGAAGAGCTAGGGTTGGTGTTGTATTCCTGAAACCCCAGCAATCAGGAGGCAGAGACAGGAGGATCAGGAGTTCAAAGTCATTCTTTGCTATACAGAGAGTTTGAGGCCAGCCTGGGCTATATGAGACACATAGCAAAGCAGAGAGGAAGCATTACAGGGTGGTTTGTTTCTTAGCAGATCTCTGTTGAACTATTATCAATCATATTTTTATGGTGTTGGTGTGGACCCTCAGCCTATACGTAGGCTAAGCAAACCCCTGCAGGCCCATGGATAATCAATCTCTCTTGCGGACTTGCAGTTCCCCTAGACGTGACCCTGCCTTTGAAGCCCATCTTCACCTTGACCTAAGGGACTTTGCTGATGCTGGCTACAAACAAGGAGATCCCATCATGACCACAATGGGGTATTTCACCGTCCCTCAGGTAACGCCTTCCATTTCCACATTTGGATTCAAGTAGTGTCCGTTCTAAGCAGCTGGTCTTCCTCCTGTGCATTAACTACTAATAGTCTCTAGACTGACCGACTTTCTTAACCCCTCTTCACTAATCACAGCGTGTATATCGTCACGGGGAGAGTCTCTGTGGAGACACCTTGGAGGCGGTGGTCAGTTTCCACCTCACCCCCTTTCAGTGTTTCGTGGTTTTGTGTTGCTGGGGCTGGTCTGAGGGCCTTGTGTGTGCTAGTCAAGGGCTCCACCACCAGGCTACATCCCCAGCCCCAGCAATTTCTAAGAAGCTAGAAGTATGTGACTGTATAACATTTGGAATGTAGAAACATCTTTTCAGGTTAGAGAGTCTTACGTGAAATATCGTTTTGGTTTTTTTTTTTTTCTAACTCCATCATCATTAGGAGACCATGCCCATGGGAGGAAAGCATGGGATTCATGACAGTTTGTTATTCCTGTGAGCCTTTTATGTTATTGAAGCTGTCAGGGGTCAGGAGGGGGTGCTTAGCAGTAGAGTTTATGGTTATGCCTGGCTTTCCTGTCTCCCTCAAAGTTCAGGCTGTGATGAGGAAGAACTGAGGTTGAATATAATCGTGACTCGTTAGTGGATTAGAGTGTACTTCCCCGAGTGTATTAGACAACACTTCTGTGAGTAGTGGTTTCCAGATCTTGGCTCCCTGAAGTTGGTCACCTTGAGTACTAACTGTTGACATCGTCCAGCAATAGCAGTGGGCAGCAGAGAGCAACGTGGGATAGGGTGGCATCGAAATAGGGTCTCACTGTAGCCTAGCCTGGTTCTGGATCTAGTGCAATCCTGCCTGGACCCCCCAAGTCCTGGGATTGAAGACTTGAGCACCACGCTTGACAGAAAGAATGTTTTTTAAGACAGGAAGAAGAAGTCGGTGTACCATATTGGTTCCTCACCCCTAGGTCTCCCTGGCTGGACAGTGTCTGCAGGATGCTCCAGTGGCTTTCCTGAGGAATTTTGATATTGAATGTACCATCAATCTGGAAGTGCACCGAGAACGAGATGGCACTGTCCCTGAGAATGTGAAGATTCGCACGTCAGGAGGTAGGCTGCCTTTGCAGTTAAATCAGTGTGTAAGCCTCTGGCGGTTAAAACAGTGTGTAAGCCTCTGGCGGTTAAAACAGTGTGTAAGCCTTTGGCTCTGCATCCATGATGGCTCCTCTGTTGGTTGAGGATGTTTTTTTTTCCACGGGAAAAGTTCAGTCTGACTAGACAGCACCCTGTACATGTGGTTGGTGTTTTCTTCTCTGCTCTGGGCACTGAGTCCCATCCCCTCCCCAGGTCTCTATTGTGACTTAAGTCAGATCTCCATAGTGTCACGTGAGTACATTGGCTTTCTGTGCCATCCTGTGCACCCTACACACCTGAGGAGCCCCAGGCCTTTCAGTACCTGCAGAGGGAGCTGGCATTTCCTCTGCAGTGGGCTACTGAGCTCTTGTCTGTCCTTGCACTTCACATCGGCGGGGCCATTGCTTTGCTGCTGGCTCCCCCTGAACAAAGGATGGAGACACACTGTGACTGCAGCCAGGGGGAGGCTGGCTAGTCTGTGGGTCTCTACAGGTGGGCTCACGGGCTCTTAGCATCCAAGAGGAAGTTATAGTTGCTAGTCTCTGCACACACAGATGAACAGTTCCTAAACACGCCTACTCATTCTTCTTTGGGGCTGGCCCACATGAGTAATGGCTTTGCTAATTTCCTATGGGCCAATTGGTCTCGGAGTCCAAGCTCATGTCAAAGTACACACTGACTCAGGACCTCACACACACACACACACACACACACACCCGCCCCGCTTCCTCTGCTCCTGCACTTTGCTCTGTGGCCTTCATGTCTGACTTCTTTCACTTAGCATCATCTTTTTTTGTTTTTCAAGACAGAGTTTCTCTGTGTATCCCTGGCTGTCCTGGAACTCAGTCTGTAGAACAGGCTGGCCTTGAACTTAGTGTGTGCCAACTTCTGCCTCTGGGCATACTGGGATCAAAGGCGGGCCACCACTTCACACCTTTACGTTAGCATCATCTTTTGAAAGCATAGTCTGTGCCACATGACTTATTTACTTTGTTTTTAGGCCAAGGAGTATTCTGCTGTGTGGCTCAGCCGCATTTTGTGACCGACAGATACCTGGCTTGTTGCCACCTTTTTGTTTTATGACCAGTGCTGGAGTGAGCATCTGGAGACACAGTTTTGTGGGATATGAAGTGGGATTGCCATGCCATGTAGTTTACTTGACAGTTTGAGGGACCCCAGACTCTCCCAAAGTGGCTGCACCACAAGTGCTGGTGCCGACTCTTTGTGGGTATAGTGAGCAGCTGGGACAGAGGGACCCCAGCCTCTGATGATGTAAGGGGGGAGGGGAGGACCTCAACACAGGCATGGCTGCTCAGTAGCCTTTTTTTTTTCTTTCTTTCTTTCTTTTTTTTTTTTTTTCGAGACAGGGTTTCTCTGGTTTTGGAGCCTGTCCTGGAACTAGCTCTGTAGACCAGGCTGGTCTCGAACTCACAGAGATCCGCCTGCCTCTGCCTCCCGAGTGCTGGGATTAAAGGCGTGTGCCCCGCATCTTTTTTTTTTCTTCTTTTTTTTGTGGGGGAGGGGACTTGAGACAGGGTTTCTCGCCTTCGGTCTCACAAATGCTGGGATTTCAGGCACAAAGCCTGGCTCCTTGTTAGCTCGATAAACCCCTGTGAGTAGGTGAGTGGCACCATGAGGACCACACGTCTCTGTGAAAGTTAATTTGTTAGGGGAAATTCAATCACACTGTGAACCCCAAGTTTGCATTAGCGGTAATTAAATAAAATTAACCTTGGGTCAGGAGGCTCAGTTAGCAACTAGTTGACAGAAAGTGATCAAAGAGAATCAGAGGGCATCCAGAAGAGATAGAGAGACACACCAGGAGTAGGGAGGATCTGGAGTGGTGCAGACTTTTTTGTGCAAAGGAAAAAAAAAGAAAAAAAAAAAGAAAAAGGATGTGCTGTTTTGGAGAGATGCCAGCAAGGAGAGAAGGTTGCTACTGAGCTAGCAGGTTTTCACCCCAGCCTTTGAATCTCTAGTCTTATTGATAAATAGAGAGATAGAAGTTCAGGTAAAGCTACCTTTAGTGGCAGTGGCAGAGTTGCAATTTCTGGCTGAAATAGCAGTAGATTAAGGTGCAGCCACTTGCCAAGTTAAAACACCATTGATTCTGTGTCTCTTTAGGTCTGGTCACACCAAGAGTAAGCTATGAGCAAGCCGCTGACCTGGACAAACGCATCTCCAGTCCAGGTACATAGTGTTACACGTTCATGCCACTTCTACAAAACACAGGTGCTGTTTCTTTTTTATTTTATTTTATTTTTGAGACAGGGTCTCATTCTGTGGCACTGGCTGGCCTGGAACTCCCTATATAGACCAGGCTGGCCTGGAACTCACAGAAATCCACCTGCCTCTGCCTTCTGGGTGCTGGGATTAAAGGTGTACGACACTATATCTGGGTTGTTGTTTTTGTTTTTGTTTTTTTCAAGACAGGGTTTCTCTGTGTAGCCCTTGCTGTCCAGGAACTCACTCTAGACCAGATTCTCCTTGAACTCAGGGATCTGCCTGCCTCTGCCTCCTGAGTGCTGGGATTAGAGTTAGGTGCCACCGCTGCCCAGCATTTTTTTAAAATATTTATTTATTTATTTATTATGTATACAATATTCTGTCTGTATGTATGCCTGCAGGCCAGCAGAGGGCACCAGACCCCATTACAGATGGCTGTGAGCCACCATGTGGTTGTTGGGAATTGAACTCAGGTCCTTTGGAAGAGCAGGCAATGTTTTGTTTTTTTTTTAAATATTTATTTATTTATTATGTATACAATATTCTATCTGTGTGTATGACTGCAGGCCAGAAGAGGACACCAGATCCCATTACAGATGGTTGTGAGCCACCATGTGGTTGCTGGGAATTGAACTCAGGACCTTTGGAAGAGCAGGCCATGCTTTTAACCTCTGAGCCATCTCTCCAGCCCCACTCCCCAGCATTTTAACAAATTTTTAAAGATTGATTTTTATCTATGTGTCTGTGTGGTGTGTGCTAAGGCCAGAAGAGGGTATCACCCTCTGGAGCCTCACTTACGGTTGATTGACGTGAGTGCTAGGAAGCAAACTCTGGTCCTCTGTGAGAGCACACCTTTAAACCCAGCATTTGGCAGACTGAGGCATGTAGATCACTATGCATTCAAAGCCAGCCTGTCAACATAGCAAGTTACAGGACAGCAAATATATATATTAGAGACTGTGTCTCAAAACAAACAAAACACAAAATCAGATGATGGCCAGAGAGACGGTTCAGTGGGTAAAGGTGTTTGCAGCCACGCTTGAGGACCTGAGTTCAGTTCCTGGGACCTGTGTGGTGAAAGGCACCAACCAACTCCTGAAACTTGTCCTTTGACCTCCACTCGGGCACTGTGACAAGCCTGCATATATATGTGTGTGTGTGACATGCAAGGCTGTGTGTGCACATGCAGGAATACACACTAATAAATAAAAATGTGAAGAAAGAAAAGATGGAGAATGATTGAGGAAGATACACAGCACTGACCTCTACATTTATCATGTAGAGGTCACACAGGAATGTTTACACATATGTAAACACACAAAGCAATTAAACATTTGAAAATGGGGGCTGGAGAGATGACTCAGTGCTTAAGAGCATTGGCTGTTCTTGCAGAGGACCAGGTTAAGTTCCCAGCACCCACATGATGGCACACATCTGTAACTTCAGTTGCAGGTGATTTGATGTCCTCTGCTGCCCTCCTGGGCACCAGTCACACACCATGGTGCATACACTTATGTGCGCATGCAAGTGAAATAAAAATAATACATCTTTAGGAAAGAATTGATGGAGGCTCAGCAGAGTTGGGGGGCACTCCAGCAGAGTTTTTTTTTTAATTTTTTAATAATTATTTATTTATTATGTATACAATATTCTGTGTGTATGCCTGAAGGCCAGAAGAAGGTGCCAGACCTCATTACAGATGGTTGTGAGCCACCATGTGGTTGCTGGGAATTGAACTCAGGACCTTTGGAAGAGCAGGCAATGCTCTTAACCACTGAGCCATCTCTCCAGCCCCCTCCAGCAGAGTTTTGTTGTATGTTCTGCTTGTGTGGCTTCCGTGGACTCTGAGACCTCAGCCACCTCCTCACAGGCCCTGAGGGGATGTTCATCAGAGCCCTAGCCAGCTCTCAGGTCCTGAGGCCTTTGCTTAAGTCACTCTTAGGTTGTAATCCTTGCGGACACAGTGTGGTCATTCTTGCCTGCTTTATTTTCTAATCTTCGTGTGTGTGTGTGTGTGTGTGTGTGTGTGTGTGTGTGTGTGTGTGTGTGCGCGCGCGCGCATGAAAACAGGACAAGTTCAGCTGTGGGTACTTGTCTCCCCCCTTATTTGAAAGAGGTATCTTGTTCTTTGACGCCAGTGCTGAGCTAGCACCAGAACTGAAGCTGGGCTCTCAGCTGGCTTTCTGTGGGTTCTGGGGATCTGAGCCTTCTCTCCAGCCCCCTTTTTTGCTTTTCCTGGTAGTTAACCTTTGCAGCCAGAGCAGCTGTGTGGTGTGTCTGATTCAGCAGCCCTTTGTTTTGAATGAAGGTGTGGCCTGTGTTCCTTTCCAGTGGGTTATGACCTTGTTCTTGGCTGTATGTTTGAAATTCATTCTGTCTAATAGCTTAATAGCTGCTAGGCCTCGGGTCTCTGCTCCCGGATGCCTGAGTGTCCCCAAGTGCAGAGCTCAGCACCGGGGACACAGGAATCACAGGAAAGGGACAGAATCATTCAGGGAGCCGAGGTGGAATAGAGGATGTGGCTAATTGACTTGGGACCACAGGAAGCTCCATGAGGAAACAGTGGACGGCTTCCTTAGGGAGCTGGAGAGATGGCCGCTGTGGGGGGCACTCAGGCAGAGAGAGCCCCAGGAGAGGGTTTTTTTTTTTTTTTGCAGACACACTTCTCAACAGTGGACCTGCCTCCAGAAATGTGAGCGTTGAAGAGCGTTACATTTTCAGATGGCAAAATAATTCCATCAGCGGACTAGACGTCACAGTCATCAGGGCGGAGATCAGTGCCCACCAGAAAGGTAACACTGATGAGAGGCTGGAAAGCCTTGAGTGGGAAGTGTTTGATTTTCCAATGGTTTCCGTAACTGTGACTCTTCAAGTGGAGCCAGACTTGTTTATCATGTGTGTTTATTATGTGTGTTTATCACTGAATCAAGGAGTCAGTATTTTTTTTTTTACCCCAAGACAGGGTTTTTCTGTGTAGCCCTGGGTGTCCTGGAATTAGCTCTGTAAGACCAGGCTGGCATTGAACTAACAGAGATCTGCCCCGCCTCTGCCTCCTGAGTGCTGGGATTAAAAGGGCGTGCCACCACCGCCTGGCAGGCATCTGGATGTCAGACTTAATTTTGCTCTGGGCGTGGTGGCTCACACCTGTGATGCTAGAACTCAGGAGGCTGAGACAGACAGTGAGTTCAAAATACATACAGTGAAGCCCTGTCTCAAAGGAACAAAAAAAGTGATTTTTAAAGTAAATGGTACCTAGGCTAGAGAGATGGCTCAGCACTGGCTGCTTTTCCAGAGGACCTGGGGTTCAGTTCCCAGCACCCACATGGCAGCTCACAGATCAGTGCACCCCAGATACTCCACAGATACCTGCAGTGGCTTGCACGTCTACACACATGTACGTATAATTAAAAATAAAGTTTCCCTGAACAGGGGTGGCGCACGCCTTTAATGTCAGCACTTGGAAGGCAGAGGTAGGCAGATCTCTGTGAATTCATGGTCAACTTGGTCTATAAAGTTTGTTCTAGAACAGTAATACTGTTACACAGAGAAACCCTGTCCCAATACCCCTCCGAAAAGAAATAAAAAAAATAAAGTAAATAGTATCCCTGGGCTGGCAAGATGGCTCTGCTGGGAGGGTGCTTGTGACAAACCTGACAGCCCTAGCTTGTGTCCCCAGAACTGACTCCTACAAGTTGTCTTCAGACCCCCACATGTGTGCCAATGCTTGTGCACCCACACACATACATGCTGCACACCATTACATCCAGATCACGGAGGCCCCCCCCCCCCCCCCCC